ATGAGTGTATTTTTGGAATTACAATTGTTCTACATATAACTTGATTTTATAACTGATGTAAGAAATATTATTGTTGTTTTTAAGTATATTCTGATAGAGTTGATTCATATTTTTTATCCAATTTTACTTAAATTTAATAGTAGACTGTACCCTAGTTGCAAAGTAACAAATTATAAGAATAATAACAATATTTATTGAAAAAAATACATAATAACAGGCAAAAAACTTTGAAATAAAAAAAAAAAAAACTTATTGTTGCTATGGGCAATAATTCTTTATGAACAGATACATTTGTAATACTTAATATTTAAGTATAGTGTATACTTCATATATTGATTCTTGTTACTTACATAATATTAAGTTGTCCGGAAAGTTTGTGCCTATTTTTTCACGAAAATTAATACTTTTTACATATATATATATTAATTATGTATATACATTTTTGTTATATTCTTCATTTTTCACGCAACTTAAACATTCTATCACCCCAGAATATATAAGAACAATTTAAACTTTCCTAGATGTTTACTATGTCTACTAAAAATGAAAAATTCTTGCAGTTAATGGAATTTTGCAAAGTCCCAAAGAAATGGAAATTAGAATACTTCTCATACATTGTAATGGTTTATATAGTCAAGCTTAAAAAAATATTTTTAATGTCTCTGCTAATTCACGAGTCGTGTAGTGTGGATTATTATCGATTAATGACTTGATTTAATCATTATTACTAGCAGACCTTTAAGGCTGAAATCACCAGTTCTAAAATTAGCAAAATATTTCAGGTAAAACAGCATCTCCATAAATAAAATATATCAAAGTTATTGCTTTAGTGGCATTTGTGCCATTCCAATAATAGAAAATTATCAAAGTCTAAATGCTAATTGTTTTCTTTCATCTTCATTTGATCCGAATTTAAAATTGTCACCATTCAGTATATTACACAAGTCCATTGTTTTTATCAATTCTGATATATTGGAATAAACTTTCCAGACAACGCAATAATTTACATTTCGGAACATATCGAACTTCTTTCGAGAAGAATTGCATATGCTTTAAAGCTGGGGGCGCCGCACCCGCTACCTGATTTACAACTCTCCGTCCTTTTATATTTATAAAACCGACACGCAAAATATATTGCATGGCATGCTTTAATTTATACGATACACATATACGGATTGCCGGTGATATTACTCATATAAGTTTTGCATTTACAAGAGCGCAGAGTTCTACAATTAAATTTCACTTATCGCCATGACTAAGCACAGCATTGTTTGATATATTACACATTTCCTAGGCGACAATACCAAAACAATTTACAAAACAAAGCCAGCAATATTGAAGACATTGTAGTGAAAATAATGCAGTTTCAGTTTCAAAAGAGAGTGAATTATTTAAATCATTATACTGGCGCTTTGCACGAGCGCGTACCATGATATTTAGCACTTAGCAATTACGGTAGGAAGTGTTCATTTAGCGTAATTATATGACAAACCTCTTTTCTTGGAATATATTGTTCTATCTACCGCAGTTAATTTATTTCCCTGTAATAAATAGATGAAATTATTTAACGTTTAAATACTTCAGTGAATACTATTTATAATATTGATGATTGATAGTCTTATAAGTCTTCGATTAGTTAACCTTGCACGAACTATGCAAACTGCAATCAATTATTTATGCAATTTTAGCAAGGTCAAAGTGCTTTATTTTATTATTTTTTTAATGATAGGATGATGAATCATTTACGAAATTCTTCACTGTCTATTCGCACAGAAAATTGGCGTGCAAAATTCTCCAAATTGGGATGATTTGTCGATCATGTTTTTGAGAACTGCCCGAAGCAATTTCTCAGGATATACAGATAATGTATTCATATGCTCAAATAATTTTTCCTATTTGAAATCTATAATTGTAATACTAATAACATGTTAATATTTTAATGACATTCAATATATGTTCTTTACATGTGTACAGTAATAACTATAATATTATTATTGTCCATAAAATATAAGCAATTAAAAAATAATTAACTTTTAATTTAACAAAAAAACTATATCTTGCTTGTATAAATATAAGGAAGTAATATTGGACTTTTATAATTTACAGTTTTTCATAATAAAAACAATGTACACAATTTGATACACATATGTTTCTTTGATTTAATATAATAAAATAAAGTAGAATGTATTCAGTTTCAATAAAGAGAAGAAAAATCATATAAACAATATTGATAATATTTAAGGTAAATTTAAAAAAATATATATAAAATCATACCTCTTATAGTTCTTGGAAAGAAGTAACTAAGGAATGCGTAAAATTATTGTAGCGCAAAATATGACCAGTTGTACTAGAAGAAAATATACAAGAAATTTTAAATAAAGTTATTCATTGGTTTCGAAAACAGTGCCGAAAGGAAGAAAGTTCCATTAAGAAACAATGCTATAATTGTTTTCTTGAGGGAATTGAGGCGCAAAATTTTTAACACCTTGAGGCGGGAGAGAAATTTTTAGATATTTAGTCCCAGGCGCAAGAATTCCTTGCTGCGTACCTGCTCGAAAGTGTCGATGAAGAAGATATTAAAAATTTATTGAATATAGATAATGATGATTTTTCAGTAAAAGATTGATAAGCAATTTGATGTTGTGAATATGCACAAAAAAATCGTCCACACATATTTTAAAATGTGATTTTACTTTCTATGTAAGTTGACTGTTTATTTATTAAAAATTTTCTTTGCTTGTTTTGTTCTCGTTGGAATATTTGTTCAATCTGGCCATATTATGTTTACCTCTGAATAGGAAGTTTCTCGGTAAGTCTCATATTCATTAATTAAACTATGGCTATAGATTAAATAGTAATTATTTGATGTTTTTTGTAAATTACGGATGTTATTTCTTAGAATAAAGATTACAAAATTAGCACTCTCAGAAACAGTGAAATATAGTTACAACTAGTAAGTTTATATCTTGGAATTTTATCTTACTTGGAGAAATTATAATTGGAGATATACGCAATATATAACTTAGGATAAATTAAAATTAGAAAAACATTAATTAGAAGCATTCTTATGTGAAAGAATGTTCTTGTATTGTAAAATAATTATAATTGGCAGCAAAAATGCAGTTAATAGTTTATTGTATACGTATTTGTTTTATTTATATATACAATAAATGTTACTTTACTAGCACTAATTATAATTGACTAATGTGGGATTAGCAGGATTTGATAAAATGGAAAGCAGATGCAGTTAAAGGAAATGGATTAGAAAGTGAATAATTTGTTATCCATGTAAGGAAAATGAACTGGATGAATTTCCTTTATAACTGAATGCGTGGAATTTGTACTAGCTATTTTTTTTTTATGACTTTCCTTCTTTGAGCAGAAGAGAAACAACACGTGTGTGTTGTCGCAAAAGCACGTCACGAATGGTTGCATATTAAAATAGGCATTTGCATTCGAACGTGCAACTAATTATATATAGACAGAATTGGGCGAAAATAAGGCAGTAATGGTGTACCTATAGTTCATTTCAGGATATAGTCATCTTCTATTCAGACAGCTTTGATGTAATTATGTATAAAGGATAGAAGAAATAATCTTAGCTAACTGCCAAAAATCTATAATTACTTATCATATTTGGTTAAGGTATATTTAATATTACTCACATTTATATAACAAAGCATTTTGTAACATAATTTTTTGTCGCTTTGATACATGGTGATAGCTGTCATTTCTCTATCCAAAAATTCGTAAACTGAAGGTTGAGAAACGCTGCTATAATGCAATCTATTATCATAATAATAATATCGTAAAAGACTACATTCATATATAATTCAAATATTACTTTAAGCGCAAAAAAATAACTATTTGATGCGCAATTTTCTTCAAAAGATCCATTCTTCATAATACAAATACTTAATTATAATCAATAAATAATAATTTTATTTACTGCAACAACAAATATACCAAACATATAAACTTAATAGAATAACAAAAATAATAAATTAAACTGCTGCCAAATAACGCGTCCAGCTTATATTATAGGTGGTCATAATGTGGTCTACGATACTTCTATCGGCTTCGATCTTTTTTGCATAATATCATCTACAGGTTCAGATGATTCTGAACTAAAAGCATCTTCACTTGCTCCATCAACTTCTCATTTTCTACTCTTAGCTTCTTTATGTGTATACTTACGTCGTAGTCTGTAATTTCTGAATTATCTTTAAATAAATCTTTTTCTATGTTTTTCATGAGGTAATTCTCCTTCTTGATATTTGCCTCAATGACGGAAATCTCTGCATTCTCGTTAACTAAATCTTCTTTTAGGTTATTCATGTGGTCGTTCGCATTCTATGATATTTGCCTCGATGACGGGAATCTCTGAATTATTCGTATTACACACATAACAGACTGGGCAAACCACAAGGAAACCAAACAGTAGAATTCGATGATGTGCATTGCACGATGTTCTGAATAGTAAAAATATTAAAAACAAATACTTTTCTCATTTATTAGTTATTTGGAATATTCAATATCCTATAAACCAGGAGTCCCAAACTTTTTCGGTTTGCGGCGCCCAGTTAATAGTAGTTTTTATTCAATTTTCTCACAATTTGGGAACCCCTTCTATAAACTATTTTATTGTGACTATTATTTCAATATGAAATATATTTTTTAATACAATGTATAAACTTTAAAACGCTCTAAATTTACCTATTTACTAAATGTTAATATCTTGAAACATTCTAGAAAATAAGAAAATTAGTAAATAATTTAATAAAAGTGAATATTTATTTTGGAAACCTAACCTAACCTATACTACATTGGCAAATTTCTCGTCTTCTTCATTACGAAATATTGATCAATTAACGCAATTTTATCATTTAATTTCTAATTGAAGCGGCAATTAAACGAAAGTTCGCAAAATCCCACCCTTGCAATCCAATTTAAAAGATTATAAATATATGCGATGAGGTGATTCTAAGATAGTATTCAAAATGCAGCCACCGCGTTTCAATATTTGTGACTATTTGGGTTTCTTGCTGGTTTCATACTGCGTTGCACCCGATGAAGAAGTGCGCATTCAGAAAAGAACATCGGAGGGCTTCGAGGTGGACTACCAGTGGACTTACATCAATTTTACCTGGGACACTCCCGAAGACTACAAGGATGCTGTCTTAAACAAGAAGTATATACCGCAGAACAATGCAATGGGCGGCGTGAAATTTTATAACGATCGAGTTTACATCGCACTGCCGAGGCTGAGGACCGGAACGCCTGTAACTTTGGCTTACGTAACGCCGCAACGCAACGCGAAAACGAACCTGCTGTTAACGCCTTATCCTTCGTGGAATATGAACGTCCAGAATAGCTGCGGAACACTTCAGAATGTCCAAAGTATGGAGATCGATCGCAGAGGAATCATGTGGGTGTTGGACGGGGTGAGGATTAACACTTTCACGAGTTGCCCACCGAAATTGGTATTGCTGGATTTGAATAACAACGGGAAAGTGCTGCACTCTTATTCATTTCATAACGAGATTAGTATGCGTCAAGGAGGATATCTGAATGACTTAGTTGTGGAAGAAAGTGGCGGAGGATTTGCTTACATAACGGACAGCAGTGCTCTGGATCCTGGTCTAGTTGTATACTCGAGGAGACAGGGCAGAGCTTGGAAGTTACGGGATAAAACAATGTTCGCTGAATTCGATGCTGCCAATTTCACTGTAGACGGTGTTAGCGTAGTCGGTTTCATCGGAGTCGACGGAATAGCTTTATCTCCACCACCTAAACATCGCGACGAAGAAAGATTGATCTATTTCACAGCTTTAAATGGGTACAGCATCTACGCCCTGAGCAATAAGATACTGAAAAACGAGGCTTACTGCAAAACAGATCAGTGGAGAAGATTCGTCAAATACGTCGGAGACAAATCGTCTCAAAGTGGTGGAATGATCATGGACAATAAAGGCAATCTCTTTTACGGATTGTTGGGTACATATTCTATTGCGAAATGGAACATTTTCGAACCATTCAGCACAGTGAAACATATATACCATGACGAAAAACAATTGATTTGGCCTGACAGTTTCGGTATGGACTCTACAGGTAATCTGTACGTTCTGACCAATGGTATAATAAAATTCTTCGATACGTCTTATCCATTAACGCTCAACGGGAAAATCAAATTTAGAATCCTGAAAACGTACACAGGAAACAAAAATTACATGTTTTCCGGCAAATAATTAACTCTTCCTCTCCCAACGACACTCCATTCTATACTGCGTCTCTCTCACCAAGACAATAAACCTTTCATACATTCCTAATAAACACATTTACATACTTCATTCAGTCCCTTCTTCTGTGTTTTGTACTTTTCTTCTAACATATAATATTTGAATACGCAAACGCTTCGTAACATATGTACATAAAAACATTGTATATTTAGTTAATTATTTTTATTTCAATAAAATATTTATAAGCAATAAATTATATACAACTACTTGGTAGAACATAAATCTACCATTAAATATACAACACAACATTTTCTTAAATTTGAAATATAATTATGACTAAAATTACAATAAAATATGGATTCTTTTTATTCGATTTGTTTTATTTAACTATTTCCAAATTTTGCAAGATATTAATATAAAAAATTGAGGTCAATAGACTTTTGCAACAGTTAATATATTTTTTATGTGGCTATGATTATATAAATACGACTCATTTTTTGTGATTCATAAATATTATTTATTTAATTAAATTTCATTTCAATACAATTAACAACGAAATAATTTAGTCTTCTCATTTATTATCTTAATGATTCCTTTCCTTATTATTTTCAAAAATTGTAGTCTTTCCTTATAATAAATTGATAGTTATATTAACGTAGGCAACCAAATATACCGAAGGAACGAAGTGTATTTTTATTGGATTCGTTCACTTTGGACACCAGATACTAAAATATTTCATTCCAATTGGAATCATTAATTTTTAAATACAATTTTGTATTTCGACAGTTTTAGTTGGTTGCAACTAATGTAAATTGTATTTTTAACATTTTTATGATTAAGTAAGTGTTTTATATAAATTTGGGATGGACAGGGTTGAATATACTCATATTCCAAAGAATCCCAAAAATGTGGTTTATAAAATTACTTCTATATAATATGTAAGAATTTTTATGTTTATGACCTATTTCTATGTAATGTTTTTGTGTGTTCATTCACGATAATTTGGTATAATTGAATAAGTTAGCTTCATTCTAAATTTATTTATTCTATATGTTAAAAATCATTTTATTTTCTTAATTAGAATATTTTATTATGATAACATAATACATTATAATATTACGGTATAATCTGTTCAAAGACAAAGTTCGCTAATCCAATTGTTCGTTAACCGATTATCGAATTAAGAATCAGTTTAAATTGTACCACTAGTGTTAGCTCCCAAAATAAACGTAAAATATCTTTTATTTTTTCGGTTTACGGAGCCAAACCGTTCTTATTTCAATTATGAATAAAAATGTATAAGTATCACATGTATTGATTTTAATCGATAACTTAGTATACTATTTTCATGTGGAGATCTATGTCAAACTGTTTCCATAAAAGCAAGTAATATTTCTGAATAAACATTATTTTTACGTAAATTCCTTATTTTTTAAAATATTGAAATTGTTGAGTTACGAAACAATAAACACAATCATAAAATGTTATCACTTTGCATATATTTGTTTTGAAATATTTTAAATTTATTATAATGAGTCCATGCGGATTAAGTATAGTTGAGGCCTATAGACAAATTATTCTTTGGAGGTTCCAAAAATACTAAAAGCAATAATCTATTTTAAATATTAAATGAAAATTTCGTGATTCGGAGACTACAAAGTCTGTGGCCCCTAGTCTATTCCAATTTTCAAATACAATTAACATAATTATCAACATATTTCTGCATATTCATTTTTTTGTATTGCTTCATATATATTGAAAATAAACTTAGTAGTGAAAGCATACTGTGTAGCGGAGGTAAGTTAAAATTATTTACTATTATTAGAAGATGTAAATGCAGTTTTCACACACATAAATCGTTACAAACATCTTTGAAAATGATAAATGATGTTATTATAATTCATTCTGCTAATAATTATCTCGTTGTTTCTTCAAGGTTTCCACTAAATAATAAAATACAGTTAATTAGAATTCTTATAAAAAAAGAAATCTCGATCAGAATATACGGAATCTGATTACGACAAAACAGCGCATTGCATATATCTGCAAGAGGATTGGGTTACTTATAAAACCGGTTCCAATAAATAGAATAGCCAGAACTGAAAACATTAGTTCACAAGAAGTATTGTAACGAAAATGAGCGGTGCTCTTGGTTTGCTCAATTTACTATTTCTACTATGCAGTGCGCAAAAAATGGAATTCAACGTAGAATACAAATGGACCCATTTGAACTACACGTGGCCATCGCAGGAAGTTTACGATCAAGCCGTGAAGGATGGAGCATATGTTCCGGAGAATAACGCTCCGGTTGGCATTAAATTCTACAAGGATAAACTGTATTTGGCTTTGATAAGAATTAGATCAGGTACACCAATTACGCTGGCTTATATAGAAAAGGATGCACCCATTAAATTTAATCAACTATTAACTCCATTTCCATCATGGCAAATGAATGCTAAATACGATTGCAAAACTCTGCAGAACGTACAGAGCATGGAGATCGATAAGAACGGTATCATGTGGGTCTTAGATGGTACAAGGATCAGTTCGATAACTTCATGTCCAGCCAAGTTAGTGCTATTGGATTTGAATGATAACGGAAAAGTCCTTCACACTTACGTTTTTCCTGAAGAACTTGCTCTGAGTCAAGGTGGATTTCTCAATGACATTGTGCTGGATGAAAGCGACGGGGGTTTCGCTTACATAACAGATAACTCCAATATAGATCCTGGTCTTATAGTCTATTCTAAAAATCAGAACAAGGCTTGGAAGTTCAGAGACGCGACGATGTTTCCAGAGTTGCATTCCACCCCTTACAAAGTTAATGGTATCGAGATAAAAGGACGTGTTCCCATAGATGGGATAGCTTTATCGCCAGTAAAAAATGAAAACAGATTCGTTTATTATACACCCCTGACTGGATACAATATGTACGCAATTAATACGAAGATTTTAAAAGATGAAACGAATCTGCATCTCGGAAACTGGAGGAAGGACGTCAAGTTTGTAGGTATAAAATCTTCGCATACTGATGGAATGATAATGGATAACAAAGGAAACTTATTTTATGGTTTGTTGCAATCTTACGGGATAGGCAAATGGAATGAAAATAAAACCTTCCGCACTGCAAAACAAATTTACCAAAACAAGAACGAACTTATTTGGCCAGATACCTTTGCCATGGACTCATCGGGAAACCTCTTCGTACTATCAAACCAAATAGTGAGGTATATAGATACAAGCAATTCTTTGAAACTTGATAAAGAAATCAAGTTTAGAATTTTACAAACACATACTGGAAATAAAAATTATATGTATGATTAAAAAATACCTTTAACATAGCGCAACGCTTGTGCGTAGTTAGCTTAGACTATTCTAAATAATAAGTAGTTCTAGTTGATGTTTCGAAGATAACATGTTAGTTTTTTGTATACTGTTAGTTATTGCGAGGTTAGGGTGGTGTTTGAACCTGAGCGTAGATTATGAATGGAATTATATCAATTTCACGTGGCCGACTTTTGTGGAGTATAATTACGCAAGTTATAAGCAGAATTACATTCCGGAAAATAACGTTCCTACGTGTATTCGGATCTATGACGAGAGGCTTTACGTGGCGCTAGGGAGGTTGTTTCCTGGAACACCGGTAACTTTGGCTTCTATGAGCGCCAAGTCGGATAAGTACAATAAGGATAATCCAATTTTGGCCCCTTTTCCGGATTGGGATACTAACGTCAAATGCAACTGCTCGACGCTGCAGAACGTTTACACATTTGATATTGATCGAAAAGGCGTTATGTGGATTGTGGATGGTGTAAGAAATAACAACTTGACGGAATGCCCGGCGAAATTGGTGTTATACAGTCTAAGATCCAAAAAGTTTATTTTATCGCATATTTTCTCAGAATCTATAGCAAAGGAAGCATTTCTAACAGATATAGCTGTAGATGTTAATTACGCTTATATAGCTGATAATAGCAAGCTCGATCCTGGATTGATAATTTATTCTAGGAGCAAAGATAAGTCATGGAAATTAAGAGATGACTCCATGTTTCCGCAGCAGGCGGCAGTCAATTTCACCATCGATAAAAAGCAAGTGGACTTTTACTCCGGTATATATGGAATCGCTTTATCACCGGAACGCAACCATTACACTAGGCGTCTCTATTTCAACTCTATTAGCAGCTACAACATCTACCACATAAGTACCAACATTATTCAGGACGAATATAATACGAAGAACAGCGACTGGAGAAAGTACGTTGACTTCGCCGGAAAGAAAATAGATCAGAGCGTCGGTTTGATCATGGACCCCAAAGGAAATCTGTTCTTTAATCTAATACACAATCGAGCGTTGGCCAAGTGGAATGTCTACCAGAAATTCAGCACGGCCCGAATCATAATGAAACATAATTACTTTGATTGGTGCGACGGTTACTCGTTCGACACCAACGGAAACCTGGTAATCTTATCGAACGAAATTGGGAAATACTTGGCGACGAAACCCAAGCGGAACACGAAGGCAGTCCACTTCCGTATACTACGATTGTCGACAAAGAAATAATCGGATGTAAATTTATTTTTCATTATCAAATTAATAAATTATTTAAAAATCTTTTACAAATGGAAGGATTCGTGTTCAGAGGCCGAATCTTGCCGGTGTCCTTCGGGGCGTCGAGCCAGCCGTTATGATTTCTTGTCCTTTGTTCAAAGCCGCTTCCCTCTTATCCGCTGCCTCCTTCCTCGCCCGCATCTCCTCCTGCGCCACCTGCATCTGACTCTCCATTTCCTGCAAATGTTCTGCCGCCTGTTTCTTCTTGGCTCTGCCAGATTTTCCGGTCTCTTTCAGCGAGAAGAACATGGGACCAAGTTCGGCTAACCAGTGACCATCCACAGAGGTGACACACTGCATGTACTCCCTTGCGGTCATCACCAATTCGTGATAGACCACGTAATCGGGAGTATTACCAAGTCCGAAGAGAGCTGATGTCGGATGCAAGTGACACGGCATTCCGGTACGGCAATTCACGTACTCTCCGATACCTTTCAGACGAGCCGCTTGGTGGAAGTAAGCTAAAAATAAAAATTAAGATTTATTAGGATTTCGGTTATCTGTATTAAATAAGATATCGATCAGCATTCAAGATATTTTATGATAAAGACAAAAGATCAATTGTTGGCGCCTATTTTTTTTGCTGTCTACACTTTGAACTTTGGTTATGAAAAATATCCGTTGCGAGATAAAATAAAAATGATAAAGTTTTAAAACTTGATTCATATAAAGATATTCTTCAATCATATTTGAGAGTAACCAAAATCTGGTTTCGAATTATCGCAATACAGGTTTTTAGTAATATGTTGTTTTTGATTATCACTGTAATACTCTTATTCAAAAACATGCTTTATCAAACGAACTCGAATATCTAAGATAAAACAACAAATGCAATTGTTTATAAGAATATTATTATTCTAAAGTAGTTATTATAAAATAAATACAGATAATTAATATCGACTAATATTATGAGAATAAAATATATTTTTATAACTTACACACATTTATCTTATCTTACTGAAGACTTTTTCAATAGAAGTAACCTTGTTAACAACAACATTGTTTACTGAACCTACTTAAATAATCATTCTTCTATACCTATATACTTTTATTAAATAAAATGAATTTTTAGCTAATGCCAAACTGAAACTCACAAAACGTTATAAGATATTTTTTTCTAAAAATATGCAAATGTTTAAATTATAATAATTTAAATGAAATATTTAAAAAAAAAACAACTATTTTAGAATAGTTACAAACTAATTAAAATTCTACAGTAAAAAAATAAATACTACATTTCAAGAAATGCAGTTACTATATTATTATTATGTCCCCATGAAAAACCTTGTTCTAAATAGCTGAAATAATTAAGCTAATAGTATAAATAACTCTTAAATTGCAATAATAACACATTTAAAAAATATATAAAATTTATAAATCCTCTCACATGATAAGGAAGTGCAATCGATACATTCTTCGAACATCTATTAATCTTAATTCTCTGATTTGTTATTAGATCTGAACAGTACGTTGTTAAAATTCACTCATGATTACTTTACAAGCAAATTCTAAAAATTGCAAAAATACCAAACAATAAAATATAATACATATTTTGTTAAATATTCTTTATATTAAAAGTCATGAAGCATTTTTGAATCATCAAAAATTTGGATGCGTCATTTTAAATCATTAATCAATCATTTTTACCAGAATATTTAAAATGAATCCGTAATTATCTTATATATTATATGATAAGAAAAGAAATATAAATTAATGAGCAATAATCTTAATGAACTTTAGTCTTCGCTTCGTTAATAAACGGAATAACTTGTGACTATTAGTTTACTCTTCCATCATATTATTATTTCCTATATATAAACTGCATTGCAAAATGTTCCATGGTTATTATTAAATATTATCATTAAACAATAAAGCAATTGACATTTTCAACCTTATACTCCTTATCTGCAAAAAAATGCAACGGACTTACGTAACACGAGATATAAATGACAAAAAGGTTGTCCGTATGCAAATAGTAAAGCAATAAATGCTAAATACGAATACACATTTAATTATCGTCAGTATTCGACCGGAGCGCAAATTAAGGAGCATAATGGACATGTTACTTTATTATTGACTGTTCAAATATTTTTTGAACGTCATCCATCATTAATCCCACACCGTATTACAGTGTACCAATATTGAGATTACCATTTGCGTTGTAACGTTATACGCTTCGGGGAATAATATGTATATAGAAGTCGAGCCTACAGGACAATCTAATCCGTTATTTTACTAAAATAACACGGCACACTGATAACGTTCAATAACGATAATCCGGCATTTAATACGAACCGTGTTAAGTCAATAGAGCTTATGTAATAGCGACGTACCTGAGCAAATGCATTTCCTCACGATGTCCCAATCGGTACCGCAGGATTTCAGCTCGAGCTTCTGTTGGATAACGATGTCTTTCAACTGCTGCCTAACATCCCTGACTTTCCTCATGGCCTTGATGTGAATGAAATGCTCGTTGCACCAATGTGCAGAATAACTGAAAACGAGTAACGGTTAACAACTTGTTTGATCATCTTCTAAATAACAAAATTATTACTTATTTTGCTTCCACTGGTTGTAAACGTTCAAATAAGTCAGATGATCACTTTCCGGGACTTGGAACTTTTCACGGACGCCATCTGCTTCCTCCTCGCGCCCTTTTGGCCTGTAGAATATGGAAGGTACCGATAACATTGATACTAAGAAAAACAAAAATTTCAAATTTATTATTACTGGTAATTGCCATAATCTCTCGTCACATGGCTCAAATAATTAAAATAATCCATTTTTTGCGCATCAGCCTTATGCGATAATAAAACATTTAATACTCGTATAATTGCCATGTTGACACCATATAAAATGATAAATATATTATATGGGAAGTGAAATATTTAAACTGGACTTAAAACATATGGTAATTTAATCTAAATAAAACATCCACAAAACGATTTAACAAAAACTTAAAAAATATGTTTTTGTGGAGTACAACATCGATTAAAGTACTTATGTGATATCCACTAAGTTACACTATATAGTACTTGCCAAGTAACTTATCAATAATCAAACAACAACCGTAACTTATTTTGCAAGTATTTCGTTATTAGTAGTAGATATAACAGTAATTACTTGTTTTTACCTCCTTTAAATTAATGTATTTTTAACAAAGCTATAACGATTTTCATATTTTAAATTAATCATTTAAATGTTATTACACTTAAACATTTAAAACTTCATTTATGATAAATAACTAATTAATGATTCTTTATAACATTACTTATACTAAACGACTAGAATATTGTGATTTACATTTTCCTAGTAAATCGGAGAAAACAAGATTTTGCATAAATTCCTTACGTATATAATTTCCACTATAGGAAAATTTCCAGTTTTATTTATTATTCAAAAAGTTAAAATTTGGGTAATCATAAATATGATCTTGCCTTAAGATGCAGTGTTTCTCAACCTTTGGCTCGCGTTTTAATAAGTCACAACAAGGAAAAAAATGTTAAAACTACCACCACAGTAGTTTACAACTATAAACTTGGGTTGCAAAACGGTTAAGAAACGTTTATCTATGATTAACTAAAGGTTACATAATATTATATATACTTGAAAAGGAACTGATTTTAATGGAAACTGTATACAGTGGAACCTCGCTTAACGAGTTTAATCCGTTCCAAAAACTCCGCATTTTTCTCGTATAGTTTAATCCCGCGAAATCCGGGACTTCTCTTCTCATCGTCACTCGTTATGCAAGTCATTTTTCTTACAATTAATTTTGCTCGTTAAGCGAGGTTCCACTGTATTACTGAAATAAATGTAAGCATATATAATTGAAAAAACATGATTTACTAAACTAGGTTTAGTTTATTTTGAGAAGTTCAAATTAGTTTATATTATTTTATTACAACTAAAATTTTCATGTTCAGTTTTTATTTGGTATAAAATTATTAGTTTTGTTAAATGTATAACCTTAACTATGTCTTAATTAAGCCTATTTCTTAATTATTAAAGAAACTATATCAATAAACTTTCATTTTCTATCAACTTACCGATAATTAAAATTTCTTGTGTGCATCCCATATCGCTGGAAACAATTAGCATTTGGCATTGGGGCGGATCCAACGGGAATTCGGCCATCTGCCTACCCAATTTAGTAAGCACTCCGGTATGATCCAAAGCGCCCAAAATCCACAGTTGATACAACGAATTCAATATATTATCCTAAAATAAAACGATGTCATGTCATGTATTATGAACAAAAGAAGTAAAAAAGATTTTGTTGTTATACCTGAGGTGGAGGATCCATGAAATGGAATTGCAACAAATCCTGTACGCCCAAGGATTTCAACAGCAGGACAGTATTTGCCAAATTAGTCCTCTGAATTTCAGGTACAGTGGTGATGAGCAATTCATCTTTGTACTGTCGCTCGGTGTATAACCTGAAGGCCTGACCTGGACCTGTACGTCCTGCACGACCTGATCGTTGATTAGCGTTTGCTTGACTTATAGGATATATCTATAGAAAAAAGAAAACATTTTAATAAACAAATTATAAAAAACATTAAAAGAATATGGTTATTGCATATGTAGATGATTTTATATAAAGTAGCTAATATACTTTAAAGACATAAAATAGTAGTTTAAGGGCAGATAGTCCTTTGAAGCAGTCAACTTTTTTGAATTATGATATTTAATTTATTGTATTGAGTTTTTTTAATTTTGTAATTTTACTGTTTCAATAAATATTATTATTATTTAGTAGTTTAAATAGAAACTAGTAGTAAACAAAATGAAGTAACGAATGTATACATAATATAGGTGTTGAATATCTGGTGTTTGATAGACGATGAGTGAAACTTCCTAACAAACAAAGACGTTGTTTTTCCAAGAATCATCTATATCAATTATGTACTCTACATGAGCAGATTGTGAATTTGAAAATTCAGGTTAAGGCCTATCTGAAGGTTGAGATGTAAATATGGAAAACAAAGCATGTCTGAAATAACCTGCTAAAATCTTATATACTATACGAAATATACTTGAACTGAATAAAAAGTAAATATTAATATCCGTTTAATTAGTTATCATTGAGCTGTGTTTGTTAATTGAAATTAAAAAGTAGCAAATTACAGATAAAATGATCATAAATATTTATTCAGAAAATAAGACGCCGACGATAAGGCACAATTTAAAAAAAAAACTATGAAAACAAACTATAATGAAGTAAGATTTATCTGGGAACAAAAATGTATTATTAATTATACTTATCAGTTGATTAAAAGCACATGCTTTCATTTATCTGGACATTAACTATTATAGTCAATTACAATTTTAATCAAACAATATGTATTTATTTCAATGAAGTGCAATATTATTTTAGATTGTTACCAAATTCATATTTTATCATTTTGTTTATAAAAACAAATTAATAAATCTGTAAAGATAAAAATACAAAAAAAATCAATGAGTGACACGCACTTTATATTATCAAAATTCATCAAAATTTTTTCTACTTAAAAAAACAATAAAATTTACAAGAATTATTCTGAGGTTTCAAAATCTAAAGTCGAATTTCGGATGACAATAGATTCACTACAAAAATACTAGTTATTATATATTATTCCAGTCTTATTAAGTTGTAGACAAAAAATAATATAAGAATATTTAATATGTACATCTTCCAACACCTACAATTGTGTGTTAATTGATACACTGTTTGCGAATTCACGTCATTCACTATCGAAATAATAATTTAAACAGCTGAGCAAATTACATATAAAGTGCGAAATAGAAAAAACTATTTTTTATGCTTTAACTTTAATAGCTAAAAGTTGCCAATAGAATTCATTAATAATCTTGTGTACGTAACTCATTAGTCATTAAAATAAATAGTGATATTCGCTTACTTATATTATTATCAGAAGAAACAAAAAAAAAACAGAATTACCTTTACTAAACTTTTTTTAATAAACTTGGCTTAGAATTGACTTTTAACCAGCAAATTATAAGTACTTATATTTATTGAAATCTAAGGATCATTATCATATGTAATAATTATGTTTGTTGTTGCTATTCTCACATTTATAACTGTAATTGAAATGTATGTTAAAATCAGAAGTAAATGAATTATACACGAAAAGACAACTCAAAAATAACGTCTTATGGGTCAATGTAAACAATTCAGAATAATTCAAGAATAAAAACGTAAATGTATATTGAGGTTGTCCTCAAGCATGTAGACAAAAATCCTCTGACATTTGAATGCAATGGATGTTGTACGCTTCGGGTATTTCCTGCAATATAAATATTTCATTTCGCCTTTTCGCGTTTGTATTCGCGCAACCTTTGCACGTACACCCAAATATTATTTATTACACCGTATATGAATACACCTTTTTAATATTTCCCCGGCGATCATTGGTCGGCTCGGAAATGCTTATCACATCAAACCTTATCGAAAGCCATAATGATTCTTATATAATAATAAATTTAAAAAAAATACATCAATAATAAGCTTTCAAATCCTTGCGCGGAGATGAGGAAAACATTACAGGAGCGATAACATGAAATTTTGTTATAATAAAAAAAACCGTAACAATGTTATCAAGCGCAAACAGGCGGATTGTTGCAAAATGAGTACACATTTCAGAAGAACATAATATCGAAATTAAATCAGTCAATATTATGTGTGTAGGTATTTAAAACACAGGCCAATCAATATAAAAGTTATAAATCATTTTCGTTTCACCTTGACCAAACTAATTTAGTTATACTTGAAAGCAATCGATTACACGTTGATTGCTTTTCATTCTTTATTTGTTCTATTTTTTTTTAACGAGATCCGCGGTTGTGAATTATTGAGTACCAAGACTTACTTGAAGAGCGTCCATGCCGATCCTTGGATTGTAAACTTTCAATTTGCAGTAGCCTGCATCTATGACGAAAATGATACCGTCCACAGTCAAAGAAGTTTCAGCAATATTCGTGGCAACCACGCACTTCCTGATGCCTTCCGGTGATCTCTGGAAGATCTTCGCCTGCAAATCGGACGGCAGTTGCGAATAAATCGGTAAAATCGACAGCTGCGGAGCATTTTCTATTTCAGCAATACGTTCTCCCAACACCTGAAACAAATCATCATCTTAAACACATTGCATTATCCAACTGCTAGAGGCTGTAACAAATATAAGAATCGAGATACTATTACGCAGTACATTTCAAGTGCATTAAATTGATGTTAATTTATTCATCAGTTGCGGCTCCGATGTGAAAATTTGTATGTACACATAGCACTTCGAGTATAGTTAATAAATAAGAACGTGTTGCGCAAACTATGAAATAAATTATAATATAAATAAACAAGGAGTAATTACAAGAGGGCGTTTATTTTTATGCCATTGGAATGTTGATATTTGCATGCAGACAGAAAACAATAATACAGTAGAAACGAGTAACTATTGAACTTAATCTAAAGCTATAAATAGAATATGCGAAAGATAAAATTCTATTACCTCGCATGAGACCTCGATGTCTTCCTGGCCGGGCATGAAGATCAGAATATCACCGGATGGTGGCTGCAAGTGGATTTGCAAGGCCTGCTTAACGGCTGCATCCACGTAATCGTCAACCGTGTTCTTGCTGAAGAGGACTTCGACCGGGAACGTTCGGCCTGGAATTGTGAAGGTGGGAACGTTTCCAAAGAACATGGAAAACTTGCTAGAATCCATGGTAGCCGAGGTTACGATCAGCTTCAAATCGTGCCTTCTTGCCACAATCTGTAAATAAAAGACACATAAAACAATTATTAATTGCCAACCACGTTGGAATGGACATATTATTCATAGGGCTTTTGGTCGATTTTTCTCTAGTTCTATCAAGGACAAGTAAACGGTCACGGTCACGTCTACTCAGCGATAGAAAATAAAAGGAATGTAAATGGTTGAATAGACAGAAGAAAAAATATTGTTAACGACAAATAACACTAAAATTCTTGCGGTTAGTGAAAATGTTCTTGCATCGTTTCGGTATTTTCACTTCAAATTAGCTAATAACAATCTAAATAAATTATTTGAATATCTTCCGCATTGGCATGATTTTTTTAATATACAATCGTTAGGTAAGATATAAAAATGTTACTTTATTGAAAGATAAGGAATACCGTGACTACTGCGATAATTTGTGCCGTGCACATTTCCAGATTCCTTATCTATCTATGTAACACGTGATTTTTCATGGAATTTATCTATGACTAAGTACGGTAATTTCTATCTTTTTAACCTTAACGTTAATTATCTGTTCCAATTAAATATCGTTTTAATACAAAAAAAAAAGAAGCTGTAATCATTTTTAATTCAAATATTTCTGATAATTTTTGAAATGACTTTTTGATTCAAGGCAATATAATTGTAACTCTTTAGTGGGACACGCATTGTCCCACCTTTTGAACATGCCTAGTAGGACATTATTATAATTTTCTGGGAAATGTCCAGGAAAGAGGAATTATCCTTTAATTTGGTTGGCATGTCAAAGGATAAATCTTCATAGGGCATACCATCGGATGTCAGATTCAGTTGTCTAGAAATTTAGGAAATTCTGGCCCCTCAAAAAGATAAAGCGCAATTATTCAAGTACCCTTATTACGTACTTTAGGTATTTTCTAAGTTTAGAAATCAACAAAGTTAGTGCAGCAAAACCAGAAATATAGCTTTGCCAATAAATTGACGATTGAACAGGTGTACAAAAATATAAATAAAAAAAACTCTTAGCAATGGAGTAGAGAAAGCTGAAGATGTTAATTCATATTAAAAGATTTATGCTTCGTCAAAGCATAAATTCACTTCAAACAAACATAATTATAAAAATGTTACCTACAGAATACGAAATGTTTATAAAGTAAAGTACCTGTAATATTTGCTTACAAACATTTCTTTGTTCAGTCTCAAATAATTACGTAACATTTTTTTTAATAATAAGTGATTATTTACTATGCATTCATGTTCTAATTTACATAATTAATACCTATAAAATACAACTAATGTAATTAAATAATAAAATATTGCTAATGAAGGATTCTTAAATGATCATCTTGTAAACATTTATCAATAATTCAACAAAAAAATGATGCATCTTGCAAACATTCTTCGAATTAATTACATCTCATTTAAATAATTTACTCATTAATTAAATTTATACACATATTATCATCACGATGACTATTCGAAATGTCCTTTAATAAGATAATACTGGAAATTTTATAAGTAGCCAGGGAAAACTTTCCGGAAAATATGGTCATAGACAATGGAATTTGGGATTTACATATACTAAGAGAAACGAGGTAGAAAGTATCCGGATCTTTACGTGGTATAAAGTATGAAATTGGAAAAAAACCAAATAATCGCAAACGGAAGAAACGTTAAAGTCGTAAACAGGCAAACTTCATTATACAAGTCTTAATTATGCATAGACCAAGAAACTCAGCCAACAGTCTATAAAATATTTAAATTTTTGCGAAGCATATCTGTTGATGCATACAATTTACATTCAATTAATACAACAAACGGGTCCATTTAAATACTCAATGCTCTGTGATTACTGAGAAATCTATGAGGAATTTCGACGAATACATCTTGTAATTATAAATGAGTAGTAATAATTTGTTGGATCGCGAAAATTCCAGAAGTATCATTTATGAAATATGTACTTGACACACATATAGAAAACATCGTGTAATCAATTGAATGATATTATTATCTAATATTAAATACATTCCACAAATCATTTTGAAATACTGCAACTATTTCTGTTTTCCTAATGACAATAATATTGATTTATTACTATTGAGAATTGCGTATAATAATCATATATAATAAAAAAAAAATAATAATTATGGTTATTTTCGTTAATATATGCATTTTTCACAATTGTGCACACACTACTCCAAGGTCAATTACAAATCCTAGTAAACTGTGGCTTACAAAAACAACATCTCTTTGATGATTTAAATAGAACACACCTTATGTTAACATGGACTTGAGGAAGAAATAAGGTTGATGAACCAAACGCATGAAATTTCTATACGTGTTGGATATCTAATAATTGACCTTTTTGTATCTGCTTTCATTGCGGATAAAACGTATGTAACACATTATAACGTGGAATTGCGTTTCATTTTCAAAGGCTTGGACGCCGTTACAATAACTTTCTTCTCGCTATAAAGTTCATTAACCGCATACCCAATTAACAACATAAACAACAAATTTCGTTGTTAATCTGGGTGTAACGGTAACATAAATCAAAAACAATTTGTTTCTATAACACTCCATCATCTAGTTATTGTTTTATTTCAACAAATATTTCACAAACATTAATTATTATAGAAATTATCTTATTTTTTACACTATTAAGAAAATGTTTTAATTATTATTTTTTAAATCTGATTCAATTTCCTGTTTTTCTCTTACTGAAATCTAATACAAAGATGTAATCTATATGATGAACTATTAATAGAATGAATCACAATTATTGAACAATTTAATTTGAATGAATCATATAACGCAGAAGTTTACAACTTAGTCAGGCATGTATGACGAAGGTGCGTTGTATCTTATACAATATGCGTTTCAAGATATTGTACAGGAAAAACAACTGTTATTATGTTACAACTGCAGCTATTTTTGTTACGAAATAAAGTAATGCAAAAAAATAACCTGTTTGTATGAAAGCGTTGAAATTGATATACGGAATTTCAATTAGAATGAAATTTATTATTACGTTTATCTTACGAGAAAATTGTAGAAAGTATTGAAAATCTGTAGAAATCTGTTTCATTGCTCCTAACGATAAATTGTTATTGAAATTAATAAAAGAATTTAATATTAAGCACAACTGAAATTAATGAAAATATTGAAAACAAAACTCGTATTAGAGATTTACTTGTAAGCTATCAAGATTTTAACTTTGAAAAAATGACAAAAATTGCTAAATATTTAAGAAATCATTCTACATAAAATCGATAAATGTATTAATAAAAAATATAAATATGTTATGGCGATGTCCAAATTTTGACACATTTATCACAAACGGTTCGCCATCACTTATCTATGAAAATATTTTCATATTCTTTAAAGCAGTAATTTTACAAAATAATTAAATAAATTACTCATTAAAAAATAACATTATTTGACTAATAAACATGTCTTTTGAAAAACAAGTCATTACGAAATAACGAACTGATAACAATTGTTTCCAGACATATGTCAATAAAACATTACAGATATTATTTATATGAATCGCTTCAGTTTTCAGAAGATTTAAATAATATTGTCATATAATTATTTTTTAATATAAAAATTCTGTATTGTAAACTATTGTATATAAGATCTATAGGCTGGCAGATCTAATAGATTCCAATATTTTCTGAATAATTGTACTAAGAATAGAAAATAACAACAATATTTGCCAATTGCAGTGTCAATCCTTTCGTCTGAGATAAACCCAGTCTGTACAAAATAACACTAACAGGGCAATATGTCAAAGTTGGGAGGATATACCTGAATAGATGATTAACTTAGAAATAGGAAAAGATGAGAAAACAACTTGAAATTGAAATAAAACAATCTCGCAGTATAAAAGAAACATGATGCACGACCTTGAAATATAAAAAGCGACGTGAATATAACATAATATTTTGATCTATTTGACAACATTAAATATATCTTTACGATTTGACCTATGCAATTTATTTTATTATTATGTTTAAATTGGAAATAAATGAGGTAAAATAGTAGAATGCAATTATTAAATATAGTAATTTCCCTATATTTATACCAAGTGAATGTTATTCATGTCATTAGAAGGTTTTATAAACAAAAGCATATATATGCATATTGTTTGAATATGTTAAACGTAATTGAGATGTTTCCAAAATAGATGCTAATTTGCTACGTAAATAAAGCATCTGTAAACAAAACACAAATAATCCTTCAGAGCAAAACAACACACCGAACTATTTATATATAGTCACAGTAGTACTTATAGTACATGTATTTATTAATTCTTGTTTTCTTCTTATGTTATTCAAACAAATCATTTGTACTCAGTGGTGAATTAAACACTTGAGAGGCCCCAGGCGCAATTTAATTGTGAGATACAGTGGAACCTCGCATAACGAATATTTCGCAAGACGAGCAAACGAGCAAGATGAATTGTAAGAAAAATGACTTGCTTAACGAGCGACGTTTCGCATAACGAGTGACGACGAGAAGAGAAGTCCCGGATTGAGCGCCTGCTACATCATTTTTAAAATTTGTGTACACATATTATGTGTATTTTTGAATATGTTTCACTATACGAGTAAAAGTCCGGAAATGTTGGAACAGGTTCCACTGTATTTCCAATTCAAATATTTTTTTAGTTAAAAAATGTATTGGTTTTTGAAGGGCCGCATTAAGGTTAAGATATGAGACCCCCTTCATTTAAGAGGCCCCAGACACGCACTTCATGCGCCTGTGCGATAATCCGCCACTGTTTCTACTGGAATGTTTGTACCAAGTTCATTCATCCAAAAAAAACTGAACTTGTGAAAAGTATCAAATGTCATATTTTAATAAGAATTGTTTTTTGTAATTAAAAAAAATTGAAATATATTGAATTTATTATATAAATTATGATCAGAATTAAGCGCATAGTTAAAAAAATTTGATTTTTAAGGTCTATAAACAGAAAGTTATGATCGATTCAAACCGTTATTCTTCATGTGTCATAACAAATGCGATGTAAGAACGCAAAGTCCTTCATCCGATTTATTCTCAAACTTTACACAATCCCATCTTGATTATAATATATGCCATGTAACAAACCGAGATTTCGATTATTGCGAAAGTAAAGAAAGCAAGACATAGAACATTACAGCGTAGCCAAAAAAAATATATAAATGTTTTTAGTATTACGGGATGTTCGCTGTATTTAGATTTAAGTAAATAATCGAGATATTGCGGAATATTCACAAACATACTAATTCCTCATCACAGATAAACGGTAATCATCGCATTTTGTTTTCTATCTCTTTGACGTATTCCAAAATCCCAAATCTAGTTAATTAATTAATTTTGTCACCGTCCATTATTTGACGTAGCACATGAACTTTTATCGCTATTTACTTTGTTTCGCAATAATACAGGGTGTAATCTAATAACAACAAAGCAAAAAAAAATGGGAATCAGAGATATAATATGTATGCACGTCCTCGCACAGTACCATTGACGCTCATTATTCTCCCGATCCAAACCATTCGTAAACACGAAAACCTCCATTTCGACGCTGATAAGCATGCATATATTGTCGGCCTCGAATTTATCGCTGTTTAGCAACAAATCAAAACAAATGTGCGGTGCAAAAATGAGGACTCGTCGGGTTTTGCAGTTAAATTTCTAAAACTATGATACCGGAAGTCAATGTACGCTCGCTCGAACACCGTGTGGGTATTTGAAAGTGATTTACGCCTCCGCATAGCTCGCATTTCAAACAACCACAGGAAATGCAAAAAAAATGCATATCCGATTTTATCGCCCTTTCAAATACTATTTTAATATAATAAAGATTATACATCACATGTATACTGGTTAATTTAATAACTTTATCTTTTTAAATACAAAAATTAAATTTTCATTTATTTTAAAATATAGTAAGTTGAATTTTTTTTAAACCGTTTTCTCAGTCTCAGTCGTGTTACCACATTTATTCCCGAATCTAGAAGTTAGACAGGTTTTAAACCTGTTCCGCCGCGAAAACTCTTTAATAAGATACGAGATTTGAAGTTTGGAAATAATAATAAATTGAATCTTATACATGGTTCATCTCAAATGAGAGAAAAACGTTTCAAAACGCAATCGCTTTTTCTACATTTTAAAGTGTAAAATATTTAAAAAATAAGTTTAAAAGATAATTATTTTAAAACCCATGTTATCTCTCCTACGTTGTTGCTTGAATTCCAATAATCAATAAAACATTCTAGTTTTCGAAAGAATATGCATTATACAGGATTTACAATTATTTATATTTATTTCTTCTTAGTGATTATCACAATAATTTAATTGTTGCAATAAATATTGTTTAAATAAAAATATTTTGTCTTGTCGTTTATAATATAAGTATTTAATATTAATCATAGTAATTGTATATGATCCTTAGTATTTCAATAGTAATTAGTATAGTAAGGTGATTCATCTCAAATACATGAAGATAATTCAATGATTTTACTTTTTGAAAAAGTTGGTCAATATTTATAGAAGTAACTAACTTTTATTAAAAAAAAAATTTTTTATAAACAATAATGATCTGCAATTGATGTACATTATTAAAATATATTGTGTTTTATTATTTGGAAACTACGTGAGCTTTGACACTCATATACCAACAAGTAGATAATTGTATTTGTCATACAAATAGTACAATAATTTAACTAATCGTGGACGATGAGTAATTTTATCAGGAAGCAGTTAAATACGTCTTTCTTTCAGATGATAATCCCGTCAATGAAACAAACAAAAATATAAAACAAATAATCAGTGCTGGACTGAAAGTTTTCCGCTGCGCGTATCGCTGCGAGGGAGCTTAAAATAACATTTCCGCTATTTCACGATGCTAACGCAGTTAATTGTTGTCTAAGGACGTGCTATTTATTTAATAAAAAAAAAGCTAAATTGTCGTGTATGTTTGGATTTTGCGTTGCGAGTACGCGAGTACTACGAGTAATTATTATTGCCGGACGATAGTTGTAAAGGAGGAGAAAACAAACAAAAATAACATGCACGTACATATATCGATTTGAGAGACAGACATTGAACTCATGTGTAAGAAGGAGAACGGTAGGAAGTTCGATGCGAAGAAAACAGAATTATGCAATCTCTTGTATTGTGTCTAGAGACCAGCAGAAGAAGGAGGAGGAATGAAAAAAAGATATAAGACTGGAGCTGAGAAACAGTGCGGTTTTGAAATTGAAGAGTGGAAAAAGGGGACTAATTTGCATCCACAGAAGTAATAATAAATAAAGAGGCAAGGACACTGGAGGTGTGGAATTTGTTTACTTTAAACTAGTTTCATAAGCGCTGGCTTTCAGTTAGACTGCAAACCTGACTTGAATCACATCCATCCATACACACGCATACAAGTACGGCGTCCGAGTATTTCACGCCGCATCAATTGTGCAACGGCATTTCACGTTTAATCTCGAATAATTATAATACGTTATCACCTGTACTAGATAATAACAATACGGACGGGTTATTGTATAGTTTATTTCGAGCGGTACAGCCGGACCGTGTGGGTGATACAAGCATCCTACTATTCTTCGATTCCGTTCAGAGTTACAGCAGTACCAGGCGCCGTAAAGATGATGCTGTACGAGGCGGTGCAGTTCCAACGAAGTGAAAACTATTACAACAATTACACCAGCAAGATAAAGGAGACCAAGCCGAAAGTGCAAAGAACTAAGAGTGCCACGAACGTGCAACGCCTGTTGAACCAGCACCAACAGGAGGGTGACCTTTCGAGGCGCGGCAGCTTCGTGATCGGACAGAAGCTGAGGGAGTCGAAGTGGTTTACTCATGAAGAGCTGCGTGTCTTTTGCGCCGTCATCGAGACGGGATTCATTGTCCAGAGGAAAGATGATCAGGAGGAGATCGAGTATGGCATCGCCGTTTGGGACGTTGGCCAAGGTACGCCGCGCATATTTAGGTCGACGTGCAAATTGATTTGCAAGAAGTAAATATAAACGTGCAGAGCCATAGTCGGGGATATACCATGGCGTCCAATAAACGCATTGATAACTTAATGTACTCGACGTATAAACAACAAACGGGCGTGTAAACATTGTGGAAACCGCGACTCTAAATATAGCCGTAGCCGGCGTTCCCACAAATTCAAGCGGCAAACAAATACCGACCACGAGAACGACGACGATGGTTTTTAGTATTTAATACTTATTAACTGCGCTTTCAGCACTCCGCCATTTCTTTGCAATACCGCTGAAAATATTTCCACTTCTCATTGATCTACATATCTGTGCAATCATAACACGCACTTTCTAAACATTTCTGCAAATAAGAAAAGTTGCGCTTCCTGTTCATACACACTGTAGACTATCTTACAATTGCATTGATCCAAACAATTAACAGCACACCTCCAATCAGATAAGAAAATATATATATAATAATCGTTTCATTGAACGAAATCCCGCAAAAAATTGCGCGCATTATCCGGTTGTTCCCCTGCAACATATTTCGTTATCAATCCATTCTATTTCAAAGTGCAATCGAAACCTGCCCAAGCATGACACTTAACAATAGAGTCTTTACAATCTCCTAGTCGTAACATTTAATGTTGCGATTCTTCAATAACACGAGCTAACAAAATATCCAGTTTCACTTAAGTATATTCAAAAAACATTACACATTACGACCATTTCAAGCATGTTTCATTTGCAATCGTTACAATCTATAGATCCCTTGTACTTTGCCTTAGCAGACCTTTATCTTTTATGTTTTTTATTTTATATATATATATATATCAATTATAATTCTATTTATTTATGCAATGAGTGCAATATCCGATAATTCCTGTAATGTTTCATGCACTTTGGTTTATAGTCTTCTATCTACGCTTCATTATATAGTATACTTATTATAATACAAAAAAAAAGATAATTCTAGGACTCATTAGAATTAATTGCTAACAATAAAATTTAATTATTTAAATAAAGTTTCTGATAATACACAACTAAAAAATGTAACATATATAATAATTATATTTTCAAAGAAATATTTTATGATCATTATTTTTAATGTTACAATTGTGTTTCAATAAAACATAATCTTGGCAGATGTTCAAAATTTATTCGATCAAAAATATTGGTATCATGTACTAGCCAAAAGAGTATGAACAGATGTAATTTCGCAGATGTACATTAAAACACGTATAAGAATCTAAATACGTTGCCACATTTCTTTATGAAATGTTCATTTTATAAACGGATTCAGTAAATCTTACATCATAAGAAAAAAAACGTAAGCCGTCAGTCAAACCTGAACGACCAGACCGGACGATTCGACCGGTGATTTTAATGAGTTTATAACATCTGCAAAGATCAGAGGTCTACCTTTATCGTGTCCATAATATTACTATGTAAAATTGAAATGTAGTTGTAAAAAACTTGTAATTAAATTATTAAGTTCATAATATTCATCTTTAAAATGAGAAATAAAAATGCTAGTACACTTTCAAATATTTAGTCAACAAATATATTATTTACGTTGTGGCGAACTGGAAATGATATACTCGTATAAAATTAAATTAACATTGCTTAATGTCGATGTGTAATACGTCTTGTTTCTTTATTTATTCTAGAAAAGAGCAAAAACCCAGACCACATCAACATATACTCTCTGTACCCGCACAAAGACAACTTTCGCGTGAAGTCCTTCCTGCTGTTTGAATTCTGGCCGGAAGGCACAAAGCTCAGGATTTTCAATCAAAGCGACAAAACAGAGAATCCGCACAGCGAGGATGTGATCAAGGATCAGATTTCCTATTCCGAACAGTCGAAGCAGAAATGGCACAGTTCAGAGCATTTTACCTACTGGTGCCGATACGGTCCTGTCCAATTAAACCACCGCGTCAGAAATGTAAGTTAACGAATACAAAACAACTTAATATTAAAAGTATTTTTACTTATGTCTGCATAAAAAATAACAAACATACATCTTAAAAAATAAACGCTAAAAATGTTGCTTGCACGAACATCTGCTCGTTTTACATTTTTGCAAACGACTTTTTATATCGTGACTAATCTAGGAGTCTGACGACACTTTTGTACCCGCATGTCTGCGATCTGACTTGTATCACGTAAACATCACTTTAAATGAAACGAGCAAATTCCAAACGATATTCATCGTCTTCTGTGGAATTAAATTCTGATACACAGTATTTCCAACTAACCAAAATTTGAAATTAAACAAACATTACTAAAAATACAAACATCTCGACAAAATTTAAAATCTTATCAGTATTCTTAAATAAAAGCATTTCCCGCGAGAAAAACAAAATTCTAAATATAAACGTAACGAATATTCCTTTTTTTTACAGATTACTATGTTTTCATTGATCTTGTTTACTCGATAACTTGTAGTGCGAATCAATTTGATAATATAAGAATAAAATACACGCCACGTAATTTCTTAACACACAATTCCAAGCTAATTGAAAGGATCTTAAAGTACGTGAACGGCATGACCAAGAAGAAGCTATGACTCAGCAAGTCCAGCAATTCTAAAAATAATTTTCAAGAACATTAGTCTCCCGATTGCGATTACTGACGCGTCGCTAAAAAATGCAATTGTCTGAAATACACGACTATTGGGAAAAACAGCTTTTTATTATGCAACGGGAAAAATGCATTAAACATATAAGTCCGTTGTTATTACACAAACTGGTGTCAATATCGCGATAACAAGTGAACTGCGCAATTTTAATGCACGCTATCGAATCCATCGCAATTTGGCGCCATAAAATCAGGACCTTCGATGAATGTGAATGAAATAATATTTGTACATGTAAATCGTCTCCTTGAGCGCTACGCTTAGCCGCAATTAATTAATTGCTTGTCAATATATGTATTTTGATTACTCGAAGTAAATAACAGTACGCTTCTAAGTTTTCTTTTCTTGTTGTTGCAGATGACGGACGCTAAGTGGGGGAACTTTGGCATAAATGCAGGACTGACGATGCTGAAGAAACGGCTAAAACGGATGACCAGCCACAGCACAAAATAATTTCCTTTACAAGTTATACAATTTTTGTTTGTATATTTGAAATTGTTCTGTTACGAATGTCATTTAATCGTTTTGTGATTTGTGTGTAATTACTTTCTTTTTTGCTTGTTTGTGATATGATCTTTTATTAGTATTTGAATATAAACTTATTTGGAGAGAGATGAAAATGAGGAAAATAAGTTTGCAAATATTTTAAATCTTATCAGTTTTGATTAACTTATGTAATTAAGTTCGCAAAAATGTATTGCGATATATCTATTTTACCGATAAAGACTTAGATTGTAAGTTATATTGTTTTTTTTGTACTATATGCGTATTTCTAGTGACTGAAAATTGACGTTAATTTTTATTACCAAACTGTTACGTTTTTAATAATAAAATATATTTAATTTTTATCCATTAAAGAATTGAACTGATTACCTCTTCCCAACCTTAATATTAAGACATTTTACTTCCATCTGTATATATGTTGAATGTATATTGTTCAGCCTTCTGATTCCAACAATTACAGCCAGCGTTCACATAACGTACGTTCGATAATACGTCAGTCTGAACACTCGGAGGCTTGAAGAGTATTCTTTTTGTATAACTTCATTTCTAGTTTCATTAAGTATGGAAATTCCCAGAATATGATTCAGTGTACGTTTGTATGAACAGAGTACGTACGGACGAAGGGCTACGCGTGTACGCAAAAATATGTGTACGATTTAGATACATTATTAATTACTTTACTTTAACTATATATATTTATATATCATTATAAAACAAAATTTAATTAGATCAATTTCGGCAACCTTTGAATTTCAAATAGTTTGTAGTCTACATATATAACTCTTATATTGAATTGAATTAATAAGATGAGAATAATTTTAAAAAAAGCTCACCTCTCGAAGTAGTCCGAATAAAACGTCCGTACTTAATGAACGTTCGTGGGCTTCGTCCATAATAATTGCACTGTAATGATCTAAATCTGGTTCTCTTAAACTCTCCCTGAGCAGAATACCGTCAGTCATGTATTTGATAACTGTATTTTCTGAAGTACAATCCTCGAATCGAATAGCGTATCCAACCTCATCACCTTTAAGTTACGACAATTAATATTTTTTTATACATGGTTAAACTTGAACAGACTACATACCTAATTGGGTGCCCATTTCATCGCTAACACGTTTTGCTACAGACATCGCGGCAACACGACGCGGTTGTGTACAACCTATCATTCCATATTTGCTGTACCCGTCTTCGTGAAGGTACTGAGTCAATTGGGTAGTCTTACCGCTACCAGTTTCACCTAAAATTAAAAAAAAAAGGTAAAAAAAAGAATAAACGATCGAAACAAATCCACCACTCACCAACAATAATAACAACTGAATTATCACGAATTACGTTTAGTAACTCTTGACGTACAGCAAAAACTGGTAAGAAACACCTTTGCTCGTAAATCGTCTTCTTCCTTGCAAAATCACTGCTGGCTTCGCTTTTCGTCATGTGTTCTGCGAATTTGTGATCAGCTCGATAATCGGAACTGTCATCCGCTTGATTGTACTTTTTATCGTCCTCATCTTCCTTCTTTTTGATGCCCATAATATTTCCTATCGTCGTTCCGCCCAACTCCCAATGTTTCTTCTGGGCTTTACGCCTTTCCTTCTGCTCTCTAAACACTCGAACCAATGGTGATCCTTTTCTAGCAACTAAAGCCATATCTGAAGTGGGATCTCTATAATAATATAATGAATTACTTGTGTTTTGATGATATTTACAATGTATGTAAATTACCTTACTGGAACAACAGGTTCTGGTTGCTTAGTGAAGACTATCCTACCATCCAAAAATGGAGGCACTATATTGTGAACCAATAAATGAACTCTATCAACTGATTCCTCATCAAAATCTTCATTGAAATCAACTGAATGAACTACACCAGATGTCAACATTCTGTTCCTTTCCCATAACTCATTATCCTTATTAATTTGCCTTTGTTGGGCTGACATCCTTTTTTTCTTTCTCTGCTCCAGTTGCTCCTCTTTCTTTTTTGTATACTCATCACTAACAGTAGCAAATGGATTATTTTCATCATCATAACCTTATAAAATAAACAAATGTAAGTTATCAATTAATAAAATTAAAGCTAAATATTATACCTTCATCCATATTATACCATTCCCTGTCAATTCTTTTCTGCTCTTCTTCCCACATATTTCTATCAACAGTTGAATCCCATTTAACATTGTTATCTTCCTTTTTAAGTTGTGGTGTAGCACCACTTCTCTTACGATCCTTTGCCCATGAGTTATACCTATGAGCAGGTGTTGCTCTAGGTGTATCATCTTCATATCTCCTGCCTTTTCTATCCTTCCTTTCTGACTCCCTTCGGTCAGATCTATGGGAGTCTTCATGTCTACTGGACCTAGAACTCCTCTCAGACCATTCACCAGATGATTTATATGTTTTTGGAGTTGGAAAATCCCATGAAGATCTTTTAGTTGGTACTTCGTCATCCTCTTCCCACGAGGCCTTGGATACATCATCTTTCAATTTGATATTAGGAGTTCTGGGCTCATCTTTAAACCTGGGAGTTTGTTCTCTAGAACTAGATCTGCTGGAATAATCACGTTTTTCTCTGTATCTCCTTCTATCTCGATCCCGTTCCCTATCTCTGTCCCTGTTTCTATCTCGATCCCTATCTCGTTGTCTTTCCCTTTCTCTGTATGTTTCTTTAGATCTGACAGAGCTATCATCATGACCATCTTCTTCATCAATAGAAAATGACATTTTACGTGCAGCATCTTCCTTTTCCTTACGTTTCTTTTGAGCTAATTTATCCAACCCAAGAAGGGACACTTGAGGAACTTTGAATGTTGGAGTTTTCTTCTTCACAATTAAACCACCTTTCTCATTGGAACTACCTTCCAATCTGTGCACATCGTCATCATCATCCATTTTATGCACTTTTTATAATAACTTGTCGCTACATAAATTGAAGCAATATCAAAACGATACAAACATAACCTCTTCAGAGTCAGCTGTATTTTAAACTGGCGCCAACATAATAGCACTAAACATTCTGAATCAAAGACGCATGGATAAAAACTTGAGGAGATAAAAATTACTATGGCCGTTCTTAATTAAATATATTTATTTATATAAGAAAATATATCATTTTGTTAAAGTTTATATAAGTTTAGATTATGAAAATATAATAGTTATAATAAATAAGAAAACTGTTTATAATATAAAGGACTAACATAGGAATGCTTATAATAATGATAATAATGTAGAGAATATTATTGCAGAAATTATAAACTACAAATTTAATTAAAATATCTCACATTAATGTCGCAATACAAAATTTCAATAAGTAATATATTATATTTTTTTTTCATATATATTCATAATATATAAACCCACATAACCATAACAGAAGCGTATGATGACAGTAAGCATTAAAGTCAAGTAAGTTTGGAGCGCTTTAGCTGCTGAAGATAATGACGCTGCACCGGCTTATGCAGAGCCAATTGTTCCAAGGCCTCATCTATCGTGAACCACTGTCGTTTCCTTGATATAGTTCTTGAATCTTCCCATTCCTCCAACTCCTCCGTTACCGTCATCACATATACTTCAGTCCGATGTTTGTGTTCCCGGTTCTGAAATGAAATAAATTTATATTCAAAAATGTCCAACAACTGACATCACCCAATAATAATTACCTCAAAAACGCCAAGGCTTCTGCCCAGCTTTCCGATGACACCAGCCTCTTCGAGCACTTCTCTAGTGGCGGTGACGCTAGGTTCTTCTTCGGGTTCCACGCCGCCTCCAGGCACGATCCATTTTTCTGGTTTCCTTGAAGATGTAACTAGCAGAACCTAGACATATGCAAACAATGATGTAAAACAAACGTTAACCATAATCGAAGATAACATTCCAAGGAATCATAACAGCTTCCAAATAGTCTTTGTCTTGAAATCACATGACGCATTTTAATGACATGAGTCGTCTTGTCTTGCCTTATACAAATATTTAATTATTCCACTGTATCGCATCAGCAGCACTTAACAAACAAATAAATCACAAAGTATGTTTGATCAGTGAATACAAAGAACAATAAATTTCTCAGATTATTAGTTTTTTTTTTCAAATCATAATGAGTTATGTAAGCAGAAACAGGAAACTCCACTAAAATAAAAGTGAATTATTTATTAATTTGGATATAATAAAATACGATCAGCAAGTTATCTGCTATGTGGACACACATCGAGTATGATATTCTTGTTATCGATATGTCTCAATTTCGATTTGTTCTTTTTTTTCTGCTCAGTATTTGCTGGCCGTATTCTGTTGGGTGGTAATTGATGGATATGATACGCAATTAATGGACGGAGCAACGACCGAAATTGCACCGGCGGATGAGCTGGCTGCATAACAACCGACCATCCGTGTGCACATGACAGATGTACATGATACAACATGTGTGGAGCAATTTTTTCTTGATATTTGATGGAAGGGTAGGTAAGGTAATGGTAGTGGCTGGATAAACTCACCTCAGTTTCGGCATCGGACCGCACACAGATACAGGCGGCTCGTCGGCGAAATCCTTCGTCGTCGTAAATGCGTATGGAATTTGGCTTCTCTTTGACCATGTTGGGTTTTGTGTTAAGATACAAGTTTCGTCAATCGGTGAAGAAGTGTGGGAGGGAAATTAGTAACAAGTGTTTTCTCACAGCGGTCTATCGTAAATACTGGAATACAATTCCTTATTAAATTCTCTTTTTTGTGTATATGTGTGTATGTATGTGTATATATATATATGAATGTGTGTATATATATATATACAGTAACGTCGTGGAGGAGGAATCTATTCAACAGCCATCGCCGATGTTAATTAATAGTATCACACTTTCTTCTTACTGAATGATATCTATCCATTTCAACCTGAGCCAATGAACATCTGCACGGATGATTTCGGATATTCTTGGAGAAGAGGAATAACAACTTACACAACAAAATTAACTATAGTAATAACACACTCGCTCTCGCACACACATACACTCACTCGCACACACTCTCTTTCAATTAAAAATAAAAATTATTCCGGAGAAAGAAATGATTGGATAGCCGTAAGCTAGCTGTACGTGGAGAACTTAATGCCCATTGTGAGCAAGTTTCACGACTTCTCTTCTAGTCTCTAAATATTGTATTTCACACCGACACGACTTTTGTCCGGCCGCTATTTGCGAATAAACCTGGTAATATACCTTGACTGCTTTTATCGCCAGCTGTCACCTTCTACTGCTGTTCCCGACGTTGCCACGTCTCCACTTTTCGCAGGGCACACGCGTATTACGATATCTCCCACTTGGCAGATTCACCCTTCGCCAATACCAATGACAGACTAAATGAGTAAATTCAGTTAACTTAACGCCAACCAATTTGTACATAGCTTTACTCTGCACTTTAAAAACTTTCCAATTTTAGCTACAGTCTTGCCAATAGAAACTGGAATAAAAATAAAAATTTAGTTATCTTTAGTTATACCAACCAACAGCAACTTCATTATTTATATCAATGACTGCATTGATCGTCAGCAAATATTTCAGTTTAAAATATAATAACCTTTGAATGTTTGTCTTCATTGTTTATATTAGTATCATTTTAATAGATTTACTTTAATATAATCTAAGCTTGCTTAATTTCTTGTAAATTGAAAACATTAAATTTGTTAAGCCAATTTATTTTTAACAATTTTAATCGGAAAGGCTTCAAATTTTTCCGTCTTTTTAATAAAAAAAAAAGCAACTACAATGGCGCCGGACCCTAAAATGCGGGGGAACGGCGGATTTGCTTTTGATTTTCAAATAGTAAACTTAAAATTTGCTTTAGGCCCCGAAATATGTCTAAACCATACCTCGTTACATAAAAAAAAATCCGAGTGATTTTTTTTTGCAAATATTTGAAGTTTCGCCACTGGTCCAAACGCATACTTAGAATTGTTATTCATACAGTATTTCTATGAATTTGCAAATCTGGATACCACTAACACCCATTTTTTCTTTTTCTACAAGTAACAATAGAAAATACTAAGAAAAACTAAAATCCCCGATTTCTTTTGCCAGAAAGTCTGCCACAGGTAGCTGTAGTCTTATACCACCATTAAATGGTCGTTCCTGAATAGAATATTAATAACGTTCTACAAATTATGACTTCTACTTCTGATATTATCATTTAAAGTCGTATATATTACTTAATAGATGATAATGCAGCTTAACGAGTTCCAAAATTTCCGGATGTTTACTCGTATAGTAAAACATATTCAAAAATACACATAATATATGTAGACAAGTTTTAAAAGTGATGTAGCAGGCGTGCAATCCGGAACTTCTCTTCTCATTTTTCTATTCATTTTTCTCGTTAAGCGAAATGGTCATTATGCGAGGTGCTCATTAAGCGAGGTTCCACTGTATTTCTTAATGTGAATTCATTTATTTGATTTCAAATGAATCCTTTCAATAGAAACTTTTATAAGATTAGAACTTATATCCTTGTATTTTTTGTGTCATACACTATATTTGACAACAATAATAAGTGTTGCATTTTGGCCTTTAAACTTCGGATTTCGAATTACATCTTTTTTTTTTAAATTTATCACATTTGTTATGAAATAATTAATATACAGTGGAACCTCGCTTAACGAGCATAATCCGTTCCAAATTTTACTAGTAACGCCATGCCAAAAAATAATACTCAGGAAAGGTTATGTATTACGTTTATTCAAAGAAATTATATATAATTAGGAGCGTGAATAATATTCATCTTTTCTCCTATCTCGGAATTAATTAACCTGGAATGCATAAAACAAACAAACACAAAATAATTAGTTTTGCAAGGATTATTAAACTTAGCATAAAAAGAATCACACATAATATCAGAAGACAAGTTTGGAAAATGATGTAGCAGGTGCACAATCCAGGACTTCCCTTATCCTCGTAACTCGTTATACGAAACGTCGCTCGTTAAAAAAGTCATTTTTGTTATAACTTGTTTCCTAGTTATAAAGATTACTTGTTATGTGAGGTTCCACTGAAAAATGTCCGAAAATTATTGAAAATATTATTTATTCCATGTTTGAATCAATAATAATAATGGTTATTGCAAAAGTAACACAAATATAAAATCAATACATATAGATAATTTTAATTATAAACATTAATTGCAATAGTTTATTTAACATGAGGTTTTTCTCTACTTTGATAATGTTTCTTCAATTATAAAAATACTTGGTGCATTTCTACAGCGGGGATTCCCCTATTTTTTTTTTAATTGACTAGAGCACAAAAAAAAGAAAATTTGTAGTTTTGATAAAGTATACCTTTTGAAGTATAAATTAAAAATAAATTATATAAGTATATTTCTTCTCTGGCGGTAGCTGGCGAAATTGTGCTTGACACAAGCTAAGTGGAGGGAGTGGAGGTTTATAAAAGAAGAAGAAGAATATTTCTTCTCAGATTTGTATCTTCATTATTTAAAATTTGGCAACTTAGCATTTAACTGTCAAATATTGGCGGTAATTTTGTATTTTAAGTCTGACAGCTCGGTCAGACCGGTCGAAATCATTTGTTTTTTTATATATATTTCGTGAAATCTCATTGGACAAGTTGGATTTAAAACGTTATAATTTGATATTTGCTTGCGTTGTTTGACATAGGTCGATAAACAAGGTAAGTGTATATAATCAAAAGCGCGTTTATATAGAATTTATTGTTAATAAGATTAACCAAATGCTAAGAACTTGGTTTGGGTAAGATTGCACAATAACCGCACTGGCCATTTCCAGTTTATCATCGTTTTCGTCCAACTGAAACTTGTCGACAATAATTTCATTCACTATGGTGTTGATATTGCTGAATGGATAATTGTAAATGTAGCCAGACATCTTAAATACAAACAATTATTTTACAAACATTTATGTTGTGCAGTTTTACCTTGTGTGTTTGCAACTGCTCGAACAAATCCTTCATTTTCAGTTTCTTACCATGCAATGCATATTTCTCAAACTTGCTCAGAGTTTGTTTTAAACTGTTTGATATGTAATGATTCCAAACAATTCTTCTGGTGGGAAGCAACTTGGAAAGTTTCTTTCTTAATTTCTTTTCAATTGAATACTGCAATTTCTGTACATCATATGTTGTTACATACAACAGTTTCTTTTGTACAGTGTATGTGGGTGCAGTTACTTGCTGATTAAACAATGGAATCCAATCAAATCTTCTATTCAAATCAAAACTCATATTAGTAATGTCATCATTCCTTTGGATATTTCCCCAAATCTGAAATGTAACAAAATATTACAAGATTACTTTATAAAATGTGATTTATATTACATTTGATTCATTGACTATGCAGTAAACTTTCTGCAGGGGACAATAAGTATCTGTTATGTTATATTTCTTGCAGGTACTTATGTCATATATGAAGTGTGTCGGTTCATCTGAGTCCACATTATATTCTCTAATTAAAATGTAAGCTGTAGATCCATGAGGAATACCAAATCCCAGAATAAGCCAAACTTCTAATTTGAGACTTAGCAAGAAGCACATCAAAGCAACAGCATGATCAATCAGTGATCCAATTCCTAATTTCAGTAATTGCTGAAAAATGAAAATTAGAACAGAAACCACTCATTTTGTTTTACATACTTCAGTTGTTAACCACATATGTTGGTAGAATTTGTTAGCATTAGTCACAGGGATTAGAGAAATGTACCTTGCACACTGGTCAAGGGTAATATCAAAATCATCTTCAATAATCTGTGGAGGCTCCAACGGTTTTATGAACCTTGTGATGCAGGTGGCTTTTCCATTTGAGTCAAACACTAATGCAGAGAACTTCCTATCCAAATGCGTTTCATTATATTTAGTGTTCCAATCTAAAACGTGTTGCCTTATATATGAAGGTTCATTTGTTGAGAATGATTTCTACAAATAATTACATTAGAATATGATTGCTTTTTGCATGAGAAATTACCATATCTGGGTATAATTTCGGTACATTGTGATCAGTGCTAATTTTCATATTTATATAAGTGTCACAGGATTGCAAGTCGTTTGTCTTTTTTACATTTTTAATACCTTCCTGTGCTTTTTTATACCCAATTATAACTTCAGGTAGTTTTACTAAAAACGATCCTTCCATCTGAAAGGAACGAAACATGATTTCATTCATTTACTTTTACCGTTATTCTTACCTTGTTTGATTCAAATATTGCAGAGATGGGAACTTGTACACAACCTAAATATATTTTTGTGGATTCGTCGAGATCATCGAATAATTTGATTGATAGTGACCCGATTAAAGCATTAGGATTTAGATAATCCGTGTTTATGGTCCTGCAAGTAAAGTTTTAATTAATATTTAAATTAGCACAAGGACTAGTTTTATACTCTAATGATATTTTAAGCTCCTCATTCCAGGAAGCGTCTTTTCCTTCACTCGTTTTACTCCTTACTTTAACATTAACGAATGAGATCTCAACGTAAGGATGGATTTCTTTTGCATCAGCTTTATCGGTTGTATCGAAACGTGTAGGAATATTGATTGCACTCAACAATATTATTTTTACTTTCGGAGGAGCGGCATTTTCGATAATGTTTAGAGCCTCTGTTTCGTAAGGCTTTAGATTCGGTAAAGATTTACTAGGATTTGGCTGGAATCTAAACCAATTTAAAACATTATGTATGATGGTTTTAACGTACAACCTAAAAAATATAAACATAGTGGGAATTCAATTTACATATTTTTCCACTTACTGTATGTAAAGCAAAACTTGTTCATTTACTACGTCTTCGTAAGTTAAATTATGATCTGTGTTTCTACACATTTGGAAGATCCTCATGTGCATTTGTTGCAGATACTTTCGACCATGCGAACGCCTCGAGTTAATTTCATTTTCATAGTCATCTTCTTGCAAATATTCTTCGAGATTTTCTTCTGCTATTCTCTTTTTGTAGTTGGTGAATATATTTTCAGGTATTTCCTTTATTCTGTTGGGAACAATCATTCCTGAAAACTCCGGCTCTCCTTTGTCCCTCAATTCCAATAACTTGAAGCGAATATTGTCCTCTAAATCTTCTCTTTTGCATATCTCTAAGCTGCTTAGGAATGGATCACATCTAAAAGAGAATTGTTATAAATTTGTTACAATTTTATATATATATATTAAAACGTTTTCAACCTGAAATATGTTTGCTCTCTATTTTCCTGTTCACTCTTGGTCATCTTCAAATAATTAAAAATAACTGCAGTTTTTGGATCTTCTGGGTCAATGTTGCTTTTCTGCGTCCAATCGTCCAGTTTTTGATAGTCAAGAACGCCGTTATGCAATATTTCAGAAATTTCATTCGGCGCTGAGTCGTTTTTTAATCGGTTGTTCCAAGACAGTGAATAATTCAAAAAGCCACTAGTTTGCAAACAATCGTTAAAATCTAAATTAGTGTCTTTAAACATTTCAGAAATTGTTTTACCACAACCGACACCTGCATGTTTATGAACTACTTCCTCTTTAGTCGAAAACAACATTTCGCACAGTTTGTCTCTCTTCGTTTTATTTGGATGTGGAGCTGTGACTGTGATATCAACAATTTTCTTTTTGAATAGTTTCGAGGTCTCATATAATTCGATAGAAAAATATTCCGGAACTGTCGACAACTTTATAGAGAATGTTTCATTGAAAAAACATGTAAAATTTTCGGATAAAACCTTGGGCTTCGTTTTGCAAACTTCGACATCATTACATAAAAATCTCATCTGGATTTTTAAAGCTTCCAATGCACACCTCCGAGAAGTCTCTTGATTGTCCTCAACAATTTTGGTAACTTCGTTGTCGTGTGTAATGTTGAAAGATAATTTAGGCTCACCAGAAACTCGTATTGAATCTCGGAAAACAGTTTGTAAGTCATCCCGGATTAATTCTACATCTATATCTTTAATTGGTTTTCGTGGTTTGGGTACTTTAGTTTTATCATTTTTCCATTCTGCCAATTCCTCTTTATACTTCATTAAGTGTTGCTCAAATTCCAGTTCATGTTCATCAATAATTTCTTTAAAACAAACCTCAAAAATTTCGTGATAATTGCTTTCACAAATTTCCTTTCTTATATTTAATTTAATTGATGTGCTTGAATACTTGTTCGTTCGTCTAATTTGTTTAATTCCTTTCCAAGTCCTTAAGATGTTTTTCATATTATCCCTGTACATTTTACTTTCATTAAAAAAATCTTCTCGCAGCTTCTTTATCTTTGCATTGTACAATATTAAACAACTTATATCACTGTCTGCATTTTCCCTGCTAGTTTTTGTTAATCTCAAAGCATTTAGCTTCTTTTCTAGCCTTTCAATCTTATTGCTAACAACAAATTCGCGATGAGTGTCATATAATCGAATTAATAATTCTTCCAAGACGTGTTCAGCACTGAAAAGTGAATGATGTTTAAACTTCAGACTTTGTATATCCACTTGCAAAGTTGCATCAGTTGAGATGGTGACACCGCTCAGTTCTATTGGTGGATTCAGTGATGCTTTATGATAGAAAGTTTCCAATTTCGATATTGAAGAGTAGTCAAATGGGCGAAACGCTATTTCGCTATAAGGATTTTCCAAAAACTTTAATTCATTTTCGCTGTTGAACCAATATCTGAAACACTTTAATATTTACTTTAGTTATACATAAGTTTCTTATACGTACATATCGTCATTAGCTATGAGTCTGTTATGTATTAATACAATGTATTTATTTTGTACTTTAGGTTTTCCTGGAGAATACACGCCTTCTTCGTAAGTTTTTAGTTCAGGCATTGTGTTTTTGTTGCTTAGTAAATTTCTATAATTGAAGTGAATTAAATGTATCTTCTATATTGCTGTATATTATTTACCTTGATGATGGTTTCCAAAATATTTTACTTTCTGTTTCAAAAATCTCGTTTAATTTCAAATCGGCTCTTGATTTGAACTCAACTAAACTTGATGAAAGCAAGTCTTCTGTGGATTGATTTGCATTGCTTAATTGAACATCCGTTTCTAAATTATCTTCGATTGATTCGCAAAAGAAATGGTACATCTCCGTTTTGGAAATATTTCCTGCGCTTTCCTGAACCACAACTTGCGTCTGCTTTATACGCTCATTTATCTCTAGATTTTCACGTCTCATCAACTCGATGCTTTTATTTAAATTTAATATGTTGCTCGCATGGCTTTTGAACCGTTTCAATTTTGTTGTCTTCTTTAGCGATTGGTTTTTCACCGTCATAAATCTGTCTTTTATTTTGTCTCTGTAGGAACGTACATCCGATATACTCGTGCTTTCGGAATTCGTGATTTCTGATATATCATCAGATGTTACATCAATCTGCGACTTTGGTCTAATCCTTCGATTCGCTGGAATCGGTCGAGGCGGTTTCGAAGATGAACTCTGCTTACTCGATGATTTTCTCGAGGAAACATCGCACATTTCTATTTCTTCCTATGTTTGAGTCAATATGAGAAAATTTAAAGATAAAATTATTATTTAATATACTTACAGCAAGAGATGACATGTCTCAGTTGATTGTTAGGATTATAACAAAAATAATGAATGGATTTGTTTGTATTGAGTATACGCTTGTGTTGCTAAGCGATGTTTAGTATAATATACATTTGTTGTGCCTCGAGTTTTGACTAAATATTCTTCTGTTTTTAGGGGAAGATGTCGAGGTTGGAAAATATTTACATTTCCGGAATACGAAGTTATGGAATAGAGAAAGAAGATGCACAATGTTTCAAATTTTACTCGCCGCTGACTCTATTCTTAGGACAAAATGGTTGCGGGAAAACAACTATTATCGAGGCGATCAAGCATGCTCTGACAGGGGAATTTCCTGGTGGCGGAGGCAGTGGAGCAGCACAAGGCTTCGTCAGCAATCCCTACATGCATCATGTTCCCCACGTTAAGGGCGCGATAAAATTGAAATTTCGAGACTCCCGTGGAAATATTGCAAATGTTATAAGGGTGATGAAGTGCGAGAAAACCATAAGCGGCGGTTTGAAGTTCAGCACGTTAGATTCATCGTTGAAATATATTGGCAAAAACGGAATGGAGAACGATCTAGATAATCGCATAGATGATATAAACAAGTGGATCATAAATTTAGTCGGTGTTCCGAAAGCAATATTGAATAACGTTATATTCTGCCATCAGGAGAGTTCATTATGGCCGCTAGATAAAGATTCAGACGTAAAGAAAAAGTTTGATGATATCTTTGATTCCGCCAAATACAACAAGTGCGTTACATACTTGAGAGAACAATTGCGTAAAAAGGAAGAGAACTTCAGATTGTTGAGAACTAAATTAGACGGGATAAGATGTTTGCGGGAAGAGGTAAATCGTAAAAAAAATCAGTTGAAAGAAAAACAGAGCAAATACGATTCTGTCAAAGATGAAGTAAGAGCCAAGGAGGAACAATTGCGTCCGATCAACGAAAGGCTCTCGGAAATTATAACTATCGAGGAGAATCTCATTCAGTTACAGAACAAATTGGCTGTACTGGAAAGCGAGAGAAAGAATTTAATTAGTATTCAAGCTACAATCAAAGCCAATATTAAAACTGAATTTGCCGGTAGCGATGCGGAGTTGCAGCAAGAAATTCAATCATTCGACATGAAAAAGCAGAAGCATGAGAATAAACTCAAAGACTTAGAGAAAGAAAAACAAGAATTGGGTGCACAGGAAGAAAAATTGGTGAAGATAATTCAGGAGAAAACTGTGCAAATCGTCCAGATAAAGGAGCAAAAGAAAGATTACGCTAGTAAACTGGAGGAGCGCAAAGAGAAGATCGTTGATCTTATGGGTGCTTTACATATTAATTCTGAATCAATTGATATCGATAATGATTCTGAAGGCTCCATGAAAATACTCAAAAAAGCTGTCGACGATTTTCAAGCGGACATTCAAAAGATGCTAAGCAGCTTGAAGACACAAGAAAAGGAAATGCAATCTGCCGTAGATAACAGCAGAAAGAAAGTCGTTCAAACTGAGCAAGCGATATCTTTAAAAGAAAAGGAAATTAAAGAATTGCAAAGGCAGTTTAGAGATTTTAATGGTAAACTTAATGAGTTGAATGTATCCGATGAAAGGCTTAAATCGTACGAGAAGAAAATCAAGGAAATAGATAAAGATTTGGAAAGAATTAATTCCGTATTTAAAGAGGAAGAAGTTAAGAGTAAAATTGACAGCGATAAACGAGAAATAAGAACGCTGGAGGAAAATTTGAAGAAGTTCGAAGGTAAATATAAAATTTTACACAAAAATGCAGTAACTGAAAGTGAACTGGAAAATTTGAAATGCGATGTCCTTTCTAAAAAGAATCAAGTTGAAAAGTTGAGAAACAACAATTTCGATCAATTCCAAGTCTTATTTGAAACCTTTCCAGAAAGTGACTTGAAAAGATCCGTTCAACAATTACAACAGATCAATAATAAAAATGTAACCGACTTTAATAGGAATATAACAAGAACGCAAGAGAAAGTCACTCAGCTTGAATCAGAAATTAAACATGCAAAATATTTGTTGAAACAGAGCGAAGAAGAGTTAGAGAAGAACAACACGAAAGTAAAAACATTGTGCGGTGATACTGAATATAACGAAAAAGTCAAAGAGCTGGAAGTTAAAATTAATAGATTGCAAAAGAATAAGGGCCAATGGTCAGCTGCTAAAGTAATGTATGAGAAGTTCGTCGAAGATATTAGTTCTAGTAAATGTTGTCCAATTTGCACCACGAATTTCAGTAACAAAGAAAATGCAATCACCGAAATCGTAGACACTATGAAAAGTAAAATTATTTCAATTCCCAACGAATTGGAGAAAATGAATGAAAAATTAATTCAAACTGAAAAATTGAATAAATCCGTTGTACAATTAAAACCAGTCCATGATAAGATAGAAGAATTAGAAGAAACGCTTATTCCAAAATACACTGCCAAGTTGGCGGAACTGAATCAGAAGTTAGATAATTCTAGATTAGAATTGGATGATCTTAAAACGAAATTGAAAGAACCTCAGAATATTGTTGAAACTTGCTCCTCGGTTATCAGCAGCGCAGTTTTAATCGATCAACACAGAATCGATATTACGAGAGCAAACGCAAAGATAGATTTGCTAGAAAAGCAGTTGGTTAAATTAGATTCTGATCATTCTTTGCAGCAAGTTGAAACGGAAATAGAACAAATAAAAATCGATTTAGTATATGCGAGAAACAGTTGTGATCAACAGCAGGAGATTTTGATGTCTAATAACAAACGTTGCCAAGAGTTACGTAGTGAGAAGAATTCGGTAGTACAGAAACAATTGGATTTACAGAAGTATATGCAGGGACGGCCGCAACTGGAAGAACGCATTGCTGAAATTAACGAGAAGGAAGAATCATGTCAATGCGATATTGAAGAACTTAAAGTATCTCTCATCGATATGAAAAGCGATTTAGACTCAAAGATTGCAGAGCTAAGTTTGAATAAAGATTCTAATGAAGAAACAATAAAGACGGCAAATGCGGAATATCATGGATATTCTAGTAAATATAAAGATATATGCGAAAGGAATGCACGTATTAAACAGTTGTCTGTGAAAAAGTTTGATGAACTATTTAACGAGAACCTGGAAAGTATTGAGAAGGTGAATGAAATGAAAGCCCGTGTTGTGGAAGCCAGAGAAGAATTATTCGAGTCTATTAACGATACCAAGTTGTGCATTAGCAATGAGGAGAATTGCTTCAGATCGTTGAAGGATAATCAAAGTTTACGCGAGAAACGCAAGGAACAGGATACGACTGAAACCGATTTGATTAAATTAAAAGAAAAAATTGGCAACCTTAACTACCGATCAATTAGAGATGAAAAGGTGGAATTAGAAAATAGAGCGTCGCAGATCAACAGATCAATACAGACTAGGAAAGGTAATATAGAGGAACTGGAAAATGTTATGAAAGATTTGGAAGAAGATCTATCGAAACCAAATAATAAGAACGTTGATGCCGATTTCATGAAAATGTACATCGAAACCAAAGTCATCGAACAAACTATAAAAGAAACGAAGATATACTCTCAAGCTTTGGAAAATGCAATTTGCACTATGCATAGAAATCGTATGAAGGAAATAAATAAGAACATTCGACAACTATGGAGGTTGATTTACCGAGGAAATGATATAGACTATATAGAAATTGAGAGCGACATAGGATTCCAAGCCTCCAACAGGCGTAAATACAGTTATCGCGTTATGCAGAAGAAGAAAGACACTTTAATTGAAATGAGGGGTCATTGCAGCTCTGGTCAAAAAGTTCTTGCATGTCTCATAATTCGCATAGCCTTGGCCGAGATATTCAGCTCAAATTGCAGCATTTTGGCGCTGGACGAGCCAACTACTAATTTGGATAGGGAGAACATCTCTAGTTTAAGTCAATCTCTGGCCAATATTGTAGCAACCAGGAAGGAGCAATCGCACTTCCAACTTCTAATCATCACCCACGACGAAGAATTTCTTAGAACTCTTCGCTCTGTTGATTGCTTGAAATATTATTATGATGTTAGTAGAAACAATAACGGAAATACTGTCATCACTTCTAAGTTGTTATAAACTTAATCGTTTGTTAAAATGTTTATTTAATTTAAAATATATATTTTGTATTATTTTCTTTATATTTATGGCATATTTATTTCTACACGCAATATTCAAAAATATTAAATTACAATTTCATTTGTATTGATGCAACTTCTCATACATTGAATTTTAGATGGTAAAACAAGTTGTCTATAATGAATAGAAATAAATAAACAGTCTAACCTCAAATAGAAATCAAGTAATTATGGAAAATTTTGAATTAATAAAGCAAGGTGCAGAAGGAAGAATATTTAAAGGGTTGTATTTAGGAAAGCCGAGTATTATAAAGGAAAGGTTTGAGAAGAAGTATAGACACAGAGAGTTGGATAATCATTTGACCAAGGAACGGATCAAAGCAGAAAGTAAGGCTATAACAAAATGTAGATCGATTGGCATTAGGACACCCTCACTATATTTAGTGGACTTCAATAGAAGAATGATTTTCATGGAATATTTCGAGGCCAGTATTACAGCCAAAGAATTTATTTGTACAGCAAGCAATGAATTCATAGAGAGGATCAGTGAGGATATTGGAATTGCTTTGGCCAAGATGCATTCCAATAATGTTGTTCATGGAGATTTGACTACATCTAATATTCTGTTGATCAATAAGCACAATAAGATGGATTTTAATAAATATGAGGATCTGGAGATGGTTCTAATTGATTTTGGATTAGCGCACATTGAATCCAGTGCTGAGGACAAGGGTGTTGATCTGTATGTACTGGAGAGGGCATTATTGAGTACCCACAGTATAGCTGAGCAAATATTTCCAAATATATTAAAATCTTATAAAAACGCATACAAAAATTGTAAAGAAGTCATTCAGAAGTTTGAAGATGTAAGAGCTAGGGGTAGGAAGCGAACGATGGTCGGCTGATCTACAAGTGCGAGGGCATTCCACCAGCAGCAACAATTGTTTCGCCGGTTATGTATTTTGCATCGTCGGAAACAAGGAAAGCCGCAACGCCACTTATGTCTTCAACTTTTCCCAATCTATCAAACAATAAACGTTATGTTAATTTATAATTTGTATTGTGTTTGCTGTTTACCTTTTCATTGGAATCGTGGACAGCGCCGCTTCTTCGGATTCCTTCGATGCGGAAATCTATAAATTTAATATTTTCATTAAATCTGAACATTGCACTATAGTTGGAAAACTTACAGCCGCGGAAAACTTGGTTTTAACTATTCCTGGAGCGATGCAGTTCACATTTATATTTTCCGTTGCCAATTGCTGCGAAGCCGCTTTGGTCAATCCTAATAATGTTGTTTTGCTTACAGAATATGCACCCAATAACTAAAAATTAAAATATAATAAGTTAGAAAATCTTTAAATTACATGTATTAAATCTGTCTCTTTGCAGTATATTTTTATTACTAAATTACAATTAATTTCATCTGTGAGCAAAAATGTAGTTAGTGCTTATTTAACTTATATAATACGTATATTAATACATTTTCGATACATATCTCTTCGTTTGCATGAACGTACTCTGCCATCGAGTTTCGGCATATTATACATTTTTTAATTTATTTTTTTATCGTGTATTAAAAAAAAGAAACAGAAATCAAATATACATTATGAATGCTCCGTGCATATCAACTAACTGGCATTGTACGTTCGTATGGATATTTGTACGTTAGTTCGGTCAGAGATCAATAAATATTCTTTAATATGTACTTCAAATATTCATTAAACTAGCGATGACTATAACTTATTAAATACTCTCAATAAGAAATCAGTTTGGAATCTAATAATAGTTGTATTTTCAACTCACGTCAAATGGTTGGTAACCAGCAATTGAGGCAATGAATACTATACTTCCGCCACCCCTTTTGCGGATATGTGGTAGCGATTCTTTTGCTAATAAGTACGCTGCTTTAACGTTAATGTCGAATATTTTGTCCCAAGCTTCTTCATCTGCCTAAAATAATGCATAATATTAACAAATACATACTACAATGAAGATTAGATGTGCTCCTTGATAATTTGAAAATAATCAAATTGTTATCATTCTCTTGAGAAGCAATTGGATTTATAGGGATTAAATGATTAAATTAGATTAAGGAGGATTATATGAAGGCCATTGTAACGTATTTTTTCTAGAGGAAAGCTTACATCTAGAACACTTCCTACTGCAGGATTGGCAGCAGCATTGGACACCAAGATGTCCACGCCCCCAAATGCTTTAACGGCCTAAAACAGTTGTGTATGAACGTAATTTGCAGTAGAATATAAATTTTGGGTGTTTACTTCATCAAACAGCTTAATTCTGTCTTCCTTTTTGGATACATGGCATACAAGTCCTGCAGCAGTTAAACCCTCTTCCTTCAATTTGGCTAAAGCGGAGTCAACATTCTTTTGTTTCCTGCTGCTGATGACGACCTTTGCACCTTCCAGAGCGAGACGCCTGGCAATGCCGAATCCAATGCTACAAATAAATAAATACTTAACCTATAACGTATTTATGTAATGAGGAATAATCAATCGATTGTATTACCCATCCGTTGAGGCCGTGACTACGGCCACTTTGCCATCCAACCGGTTTTTGGGAATGTATGCCATTTGCCTAATAGCACCGCTGTAATTTAAGGCAGTTTTCGAGTATTTAACTAAACTGTTCATCAACATGGTTAAAAGCAAACAACGCACTCGCACAGCTTCGATAAAAATACTGTGAAATGTAATCGTCTCAGCAGCGAGACGGTTTTCATATGTCCTCTCTTATAATTGATTAATTTATCTTTTGTACTTTGAGTTCTACATTATAATAATATAAACATCGCTTAAAAAATAGGATGCTGAAGAAGTAAATATATACAAAAAAATATTACGTAATCTCTAATTTTGTCTAAGGTCCATTCATCTTCAATCAGATCAGAACATCTTTGATCTGTCGATAACAAATTTGATCTGAAAATATTTCTATTTTCGGGACAAAATTACGCAGACTAATTTCCGTTTATCGTACAAACGCATTGCAAAACAGACAAATAGGGTTTCACATAGATAAATATAGAAATCAGCAATTTACATCATCTTTGGATACACAACTATTCAATTAGCAGATCTAGATAACATTTTTTTCCTATCAAGCCATAATAAAAACAAGTAAATGTGATGTGTTGAGCGCCATCAAACTTACCTGACGACTTATTTAAATGATGTGTTCGGAACATTCAAACGGCATTCGCAGAACAATTGCTTATAATGACCTTGTGTTATTACAGCGTTATTTGAGCGAAACATGTTAACAAGCGATTTAGTTGTAATTAACTATTTAAGAAAGCAATTTCAGTTTTTTTTGGCAATAATTATCAGTTTTGCAGAACATAGTGAAATTGTACATTCATATTATGAGCAAAACATGTTAGCAAACATAACAATTTCAGAAAGCAATTTCAGTGTATTTTATAGTAATTATCAATTTTTCAGGAAATAAAGGAAATAGATAAATTTTACGTATTTATATTATATGCATTTTAAATAACTGTTGCGATAAATATACATTTTTTTATAATTTTAAATCACTATCACTATTTTCAATAGTTTACATACAACTTCTCAATGTGACAAATTTCTAATTTTGTATGTTTGTAACTTTTAATATGAAATCTAGATGATATTGTTAGTATTGTTTACAAAAGCTTCACTCTCTTGTTTGGTGTTGATTGATTTGATGAATGATACAAATATATTTGTGACAGATCTGATGTATAGATGAGATAAACCAATTACTTGAGATATTATAAACAAAAATGAAAAGTAAAGTAATTATTCTAAATGTTTGTTCGTAAATGTTATTTTGTGATAGAAAGTCTGCACTTTGTTTTATTTGTGAATACAACAAATATTACCTTTGAATTAAGTGTAAAATTTTCGGACAGAAAGACCTATCGTGCAAAGGGCTACTGCAGCAATTTAAATTAGTTTTATTTTTCTTATTTTGTTAAGTTTGTATTATGGTTGTTGCAATAAATATTATAATCATGTGTACAATAAACATATTTTAATGTGTAGATGAATTACATTCATGTTCAACTTTGTGAATATACAAGTCAAACAGTAAATCCATTTAATGACTTCTAATAAGAATATAATGTAATTTTAATATCATTATTTACCACATGTTCTCTGGGATTTTGAAGTTATGTAATAAACATGAGTCGTCTTCTAATTATAAACATTTAACATTCAATTATTAATTATATAATCATTGGTATTTATATTTATTCTAAAAACGTATAAATAGAACATAAATAGGTTAAAATCTGAATGCGAATTTAACGGAAATTGCTGTTCCCTTCAAAGGAAGGAAATCAAATTAAACAGTGATTCCTTTCATAACAAAAAAACGAATTCACGCTCCATCGGAACTCGAATAAACACAACGCAATTTTTTTAAATTTCACCAAGAAATTCGCACATAAAAATAAGATCTCGTTGTATTTACGTTATCCAAAAATAAAACTCATTACACAGTAAACAGCTACCTACACTGGTCGTGCAGAGAGATACACGCGTTATTTTTTTTGTTTTAATTAAACTCATAATTATGCAATCAGAACCGCATTGTTATCGTAATATAAATATTTGAGATAAGTTGTAATTAAATCATGGGCTATGGTGCGTGAAACTCAAAATAATACTGGAAAAATAATAATAATTATAATAATATAGGGTGGCCTAGTTAATCTTGTAACAATTGGAATGTGCAAGGATCGGCAAGTAAATGAGGGATGGACATTTTTGGTCGAATGTTATTGTTTTGGTTTCGCTGTTATTGTTGTAAATAGAAAGTCAAGTGATGCTTGTGATAACTTATGAAGTACTCAGTAATAGATGACTCCCATCATCACCCACTCAGCAGCGTTTTTTTTTGTATTTGATTCAGTGCTACTTCAATCTTGTACTCGTTCAGATATGTCGCTCGATGATGGCTCCTGCAGGATTAACATTTGCAATGGTTTGCTCTTGTACTACCACCAGTACTCGTTCTATTCCCAGAAGGTAAAGATATAGTTTAAAGATGAGAATAACATTAATTTCATATAGAATTAACGTAAAATATTTAGACATTTTAAAATACCTTCCGATGTTTGTCCATTTCATTTGCACGGAATCGTACAAGGTTGAAGTATTGTTTGCATTTCTCATTTAATTTGTTTGTTGAACTTATTTTACTCGAAATTTCATTCTCTATTACGAGTATCAATTACGCGCGAGAGCCCAATTTCCAGTGCGGTCATGCGTTTTGTTGTTTCAACGAAACGGAAGCTAAACTGCATAGATCACATGATTTTTTTGATATAGAAACAAGTCAGGAATTATCATGCGCCTGCTAAAGTACAATTTGCGCTTCAGTCCAATCATTTACTCAAAAGGCACTTTTTGGTTGAAAACTTTCTAAAATTAATTATATTAATTTCTTATCTTAAAATTATTATCATTATAATCAAATCTTAATTTAGTGCAATTAAATAAATTAAATAAGTTTAATTAAAAAATGTTAAATTCTACACTAGTGATGTATTTTTGTTTAATAATAATCTAACTATTATAAAGCTATTCATTTTTGTTAGTAGTACAGCAATAACTTGCATAGTGCGGCTTTGATCAGTCCTGTTTGAATATTTCAAAAGAAACTAAATTTTGATTGAGCAAAATAGAAATAAATTACAAAAAAAAATGTACATAACATAATTTTTATATATAAATAAACATTTCTCTCTTTGTGTGCTATTTATTTTTATACACTTTTAAAATCTTCGATTAGTGCGGTTTCTTCGAATAGTGCGGGATATTGGCGGAATCAATTACTATATATATTTGTAAAAATTTTTAGTAACTTATATAACTTGCTATTATAAATGATTTAATTATTTGTAGGTTTTGATGGCATTGCATGAAAAGAAATTGCCATTCGAATCCTGCATTATAGATCTTCCGAAGGGCGGACAATACGAGCCATGGTATCTACAAATAAATCCAAGGGGCGAAGTGCCTGTCCTGCAGGATTGCGGCAAACTAATTCCCGACTCAACGCGCATCATAGACTATTTGGAAGATCACTTTTGTATAGGTAAACTTCATTCAATCAATATATTAAAACACATATTACATATTTTTCTTCATCTTTTGGACAGCTGACATTCCAAAATTGATACCCATGGAGGAAGGTTTCGAAGTTCGTCAAAGAATCACCTATTACCGTCACATCCTCGATCAAATACCCGCAGGAATTTTAACCATGGGCTCGTTCTTCCACCCGGAATTAGTGAAAAGACCGAAGGCTCCTTTCCTGCCACCTGTCAGAAAAAACTTCATAAGTAAACTTTCTATATTAATAAGAAAACTATGTGATATTGTTAATATTGCTTTGAAGGAACAGAGAACAATAGGAGTGAAATCTTGAAAGCGCACGCTGAGAATAACCCGGAGTGTCGTCACATCCTGCTAAAGAAACTTGAGTTCCACGAGCGAAGACACCAAATCGTCACCAACAAAGAGGAATTTCTCAGTGTCTTAAATCAAGTCGAAGATGTTCTTGATAAAGTCGAAGAGGAATTGGCGTCGCACAACCATAAAAGTAATTTCTTCAATTGTATAGATTCAATGTATTAATTTTAAATATTCTTTAAGATCAAGAGAATTGGTGGTTGTGTTCGAATACATTCACGGTCGCCGATATTAGTTTGACCATTTTATTGGAGCGTCTGAATCAGCTGGGCTTCGAGTGTGCTTTCTGGAAAGATTCCAGAAGACCGAATATCGAAAAATATTATAAACGCGTGCAGGAGCGTGAATCTTATAAGAAATCCATCCCGAACATTTTCTTCCATTTGAAAACTGTGGTCAGGGTTAAACCAATAGCAATTGGATGCGCCGTCGTTGCGGGAATGTTCCTAATTGTTGGAGGCTTCTTCATAATCAGGAAAATGATGTAGTAATTGTCTTGCTAATAGTACTTAATATATATTATTCATCAATAATTCACTTACATGATTTTCTTTGCATTATTTAGTGAGATTGTAAATTAAATCTTCATATATTTTTTGTTTTATTTCCTTTGAAATTTATTTGTTATTTGGCATATAAAAGTAAATATAAAAAAAGAATAAATTTTAATTAAAAGAAAGTAAATAATTGACAGAAAAGTAATAATTCTCTATTTTAGAATATACAAAAAATGTGAAGATAATACACCTCAAGTATGATTTACAAACCAAACAAGATAGAAGATACAATTTAGTAATACTATTTGCACTTGCAACAGTTTTATTTGTTTATTTAATAAATTATTTCAAAATTAATAACTGAAATATTTTTCATTTTCGTTAACAATTAAATAGTTTAATATAAAATGAAGATAAAGTTTTTAAAACCCAAAAATAGGTTTAATACTGAAAATTTCAAGTGTTTAAAAGTTGTTTAGAAATTTTGTTTACAATTAACTTACTAGGAGATTGAAGAAATTTAATTTTCCTTCTTTGAAAATTATCTTTTTCAATTATATAAAATAATTGCGTGTTTCCTTTTTTATTGAATTCATCTACAAAAAATATGATTATTCTTAGTTTTATAACATGCAATATGTATACTTACATTGAATTTGTAGAGATTTATACGAATACTTTCGCTAAAGTAATAGAATTATTGTAATATGTAAAAAAAAACACATGTTTTCTTAATAAGTATTATATTTCATAAATTATGAATAAATTAATAAAAAATGGCAAAATAATATTAAAAAAATAACAAAACAATTATTGAACAACAACCCCATAGTAATAATTCCAAATTAAACAAATCACCATTCACAAATTGAATCCACAATTTTATATAGTCTTATAATTTTTATATATATATTTAACAAAATGCAACAGAAAATAAAATCAGAAACTGAACATACAACAGACGTTTTTTAAATATATGTTTAAATTGTAAAAATATCATGTGCCTATTTTTGATTTAGTCTTTCAATTCAAGTGTCTTTGGTCATGTTGATATGATGTTTGCATTCTATCTTTGCTGGTCATCTGAGTTATTGACAGATTCACTCCTGCCAGTATTTAATGGTCTGCCCATGAACATTGGTTTGTTACCATTGCCGCCCGTCCTTCTTTTCAAATTGATGGGCGTGTTCTGCACAGGTTTAGGTTTGATGTATTTAAAGACACCATTCCCAGGCAACTTTGGCAAATAATTGGAAGGGTACCATAGCTTGTATGTTATAAACCATGTGAGTACAGCAAATAATCCTCCAAGCAACTTCTCCAACATCACATGGTAATAGCATATTGTCCAAAACAACATGAAGTCCCATAAAATGTTAAGTAAAGTGATTGAAATGAATAATCCTCGAATATATGGTGTGTATTTCTCATAATTCAATTGTAGAACAGCAAATTCTTCTTTTGTCAGGTTTTTCAATGGGTTTGTGCTAGGTGATGTATCATTTGTTACACGATAATGTCCTTCTAATCTCATATAATCCTTTATACTGTCCCAATTGACCATGCTTCTTGCTTCTTCTATCAACATTAAGCTACCATAGACCAAGATAAATGAATGGCCTGATATATCAAAGCCATGCCACACATTGCCAGCTTTCAAGCAGCTTTGCTTGCTGTCAAATTTTCCATCAAAACATTTCCCAAACACAGTTTCAATATAATTGAAAAAGTTTGTCCAGGCCCACCAGAAGAATGTTGCAATGCATATTCTCGAGACATGATGCTTGATGATCTTCTCCTGATGCCCGCAACAGTAAATGAAGCTTGTCAGAACTACATATGGTACTATCAGGATGAGGTTCCAGCCCCACGCATACTTCACAAAGTATTGATTCAATATATTATCCGATTTGGAGAATAAGCTTTTCGGCACTGAAGCAAAATCAACTATTAAAGACACAAGAAACAATGCTCCTAGATAGATGCAAACTTTATGGTTGGTATTATACAAAATTGACTTTTTACACACATATAGTACCATTAAGGTTAGGATCTCCAAAATAGAAGCGGGCTCTGCCGTTGGTTTCGTTCCTTTCGTCTCGGGTTTCATATCGGTCAATCGATAATTTAATTTTGCCGATTGGCTATTTATTGGTTTTCTCTTTGTAGACATGATTTATACTTTATATCTCTACGAATTGCACATTTTCTATAAGTTTGCATTAACATTGACAACTATGACATAATTTATAAATACATTTTCACTTGTACTTGAACTTTGCTCTGACCTAATAAACTACACTACCTAAGATAATTGTTACACACTTATAACAACTTTAAGCCTTATCAATATATCGAATTTCGAACAAAATAGGAATGCAAAGTCATGTTATTATTTTGATTTTTAAATTATTAAAGGTTTTATATATAATATAAGAATTAACAGATGGCGCTTCTTTAAAACATAATCATATATAAACTATTTAATCCCACTAATTATTAAATATTTCAATATATTTATAACTGTTTTAATCAAATTTTAGCTAAAAATTACTAATTTACAAAGACGATATTTTAGAGGAAATCCTATAGATGGCAGCATAACATGATTTTACATTTTATCATATAAAATAAAGAAAATCATTATAAAATCAGTTTTAAAATAATCCTTTATTTCCATACATTCTTAATATCTTTAATTGTTAATTTAATTCCTTACCAGAAATTACCCCACATGACATCCTTCAAATTGGTTATATCAATCTAACCTAAAATAACTGAAAATGAACACAAATATTATTACTACTGTAACTACAGGTAAATCAATTATCAATTAAATTATTCTTATTAATATCAACTCTTTAAGGTATATTGAAATGCCAAAGTCGTTACCTCAGTATCTCTGCAGTGAGACCACTGATTCAGAAATGGAGACAAGATCGAGGCTTACCATTGAATCCTAATGCTTATGGTGTCTTAACTGATAAAGCAGACTACACATACTTGGATGGAAGACCAACTCCATATGGTTCCCATCAGAAGAAACGTATTCTGAAACAGAGAGAATTAGCTGAAAAGATTATTACTCTGTCAAAGGAAATTGATTTTGCAAAAGAGAACCATCAGCAGAGATTGAAGGCTGAGCAGGCAGCTAGACAGGCAATTCTTGATAGTAAATTGAAACCAAAAAGTGGTATTAAAGTGAGATGATTTGTGTAATTATGAAGTTTCTAGTTTAATAAATTTAGTTATATAAATGTTGTTTGATTTTGCTTTTATTACATTTTGTTTATTTAATCTAATGATTTTGTCTATTATGATATATACAATATTATTTACAACAGAATAGAATAAAATTTGATTTAATAATATATTTTAAAAAGATATTTAATACTGATTTTAATATTAATCAGTTATTATTTACATTGGAAATAATATATTAATGGGGTTGACATTTGATTTAATTTAAGCAATCAGAGGGTTCAGAATTATTCAGCGGGTATTCAGATGATGAAATGATCTCTCTTATTTTAAAATTACAATATCAACTTGAATTATTTATTGAATGTATTAATTATGACATTTAACTAATTAATAACAATATTTATTGGAACAATAAATTACAAAATAAACAAAGTCAATACAATAATAAAAATAAAATTCAACTGCTGCAAAGAGCTATTGACCATAGGATGAAAATTATATAACAAAAAATATTCTTTCTTTTTCTAGTTGATCACACACTTTAATTTATTAAAACTTCAATATTAAATTTATGCACTCTACAATCAATTGGATCCATTTTATGTAAACATACGAAAAGCATGTGTTGTTTTAGCTCTCAATTACATTTATTCTCATATGTGATATGAAGCTGATTACAATTATTAACATGTGAATACATATTTGAATTTCCGTTACATGAATTTAAATAAATGAAAACTGAAATTACTTGCAAGAAATTACTTGTTGTGGAGACACAAATTCAAAAGAAACCACAAACAGAATAAATAAAACATCTCCAATATTTACAAAATCCACAAAACGTTTGGACAGAGAAGTTCTTCCACTAGCTTCAAAAAGTGAGATCATTAACTTATCTAGATAAATATTATCCAAAGATTGTATCCAAATTATTTAATAGAAGATTACTGCAATGACGTTTTCATAAGGGGCAAAGAAAAAACATATGAAAATGTTATCTTCAGAAACCTGAACCTAAGACAATAAATAAGGAGTTTTTAATATTAGAGGCTACAAACTGAAATATGTAGATTAATTATTCATATTCCTTTTTCTATATAGTTTTCTAATTTATTAAAAAAAATAAAATAAGTTGTAAAAATCCTTTCTCTCTATTTTTGTGTGAAAATTCGAGAATCAATTTCTAAAAAAGTCGGTTTTTGAAAAAACCTTACAAATAACCATAGGTCTTTCCTCCCAAAATCAATATTATCAAAGTATTTTCTAAATGTATAGTAATTTAAAATTAATATTTTTGTTACTTACAAATTTGATTTACATTTCTAAAAATATATTAAAATAGAATTAATTTGCATTACAGCTGTACTAATCTTGTTTAAGAATTAACAAAATTAACATAAGTTACGTTACTCATGGAGAGCTTTCGACTGCATCTGGAGATGTACTTCGCCTAATCTGAGAGTTCTTGTGGGTATGCACTGCGACACAAACCACTTGCTCAAGGCGAGAATGTCCGGAGAGACTTGCTGTGGGTTAGTATAACATAACCAATTTGATAAACGATATAAATGTCCACAAGATCTAACTACATTTACTCTGAACACGATTAAGTTATTATTACAACACATTTTGGATAATAATATTCTTAGAATGAACTTTTTTATAAATTATTTAATGCATATATCATTTTTGACTAATTATTAGTAATTTATTTGGGAAATTGTGTATAATATAGGAACTTATGATTATTTTTCCGGAAAGTTCGTTTTTCCACTAAAATTTTAAATCAATACTTTTGTGTATCTATTTATTTGATATATTATTATGTATAATTTATATCATTTTAATGAATTCACGTTTAGTGCGGGTTATTGTCGATCAATGTGTGTTCCATTATTATTATTAGTAGACATTCCTCTAGGAATTTCGCACAGTTTTTTCAACTGAAAAAACTTCTCCATAAATAGAATATTTTTTAGTTATTGCTTTAGTGAAGTTTTTGGCTTTTCAGTAATAGAAAAGTATCAAAGTCTGCTAAATTCACATAAATCATTTGATCAGAAGCATTTTCTTTTCTGAAGACGTTTGAATTGTCACCTTTCAGAATCTGATATATTCATACATCCATACACTTAAACAGTCTATCTGCTTTATTTTTTTTTTTTACAAAAATTTTAGAGTAAACAATTATTCAAGTATTAAGTTAATACAAAGTTGTCAGAAAAGTAACAATAATTCTTTATAAACAAATATGTGACATTACTTTCAATTTGAAGACTTTTATAATCAACTTTGTTATGCATGTTTTGTCATATCTTTGTAATAACTTGTAAATTAAACATAAGGAACACTAATTATAATTGAAATAATTTGATATTCACTACTTTTGATAAAAAAGTAAACGAATATTATTACAAAAAAATAATATCAATTTTTACAGTTATCGTCAAGTTCAATCGTTTCAACTTACGGAAACGGAACTTTATTGTAAGTAGATATTTGATTAATTATATTAATGATGATGATATAAGATTTAAATTATAAATAACGAATAGCAAATACTCTTATCTTTTACCACCCAGTCATTTTTTTAAGTTTGGAAAGAGAACATAATCCGAGGGGGCTAAATTGTAAGGAAGCAATTCAAACTGATGCATTGTCTTGATTGTGAGCAAACGTGGCACCTATCTTAGCTCATGTCCAAACTTTCTGTAAATGTTCGATGTACATTACTTTTTGAAATGTCTAATATGTGTGCTAGCTCGCGCACTTTGAATCTACGGTCATCCAATACTATTTTGTAGATTTTCATCACCATTTCTGGCATGGTCACCTTATTTATTCGACCACTGCGATGTTCATCTTGACAGCTCGTACGACCTCGTTTAAACTAACTACCCAATATTTTTTGGTTGTAATCGAAGAAGCGGACTCCCTCAGAGTAGAATCTAGCTCCGCTTCGTTATTGGTTAGACTGAGACCTTTTAAATGAGAGTATAATAGTGACCAATTTTTTCCATGTACAAATTTACAGACAGTGGTCACTATTGATGTCTGTCAAAGAAGTACTAAACAACGTAGCATCCTCAAACTTAAGCTTGATACTTTTCATCATAGTAGTTTTTTTTTAAACAAAAAGCACCATTTATACGTGAAATCGGGTACTTCTGGGACTGCCCTCATACAGCCAAGAACTGGAGATCTAAGCTCAGCAATTCATCCAGAACCCAGCTTTTGCTGTTTCTCTGTTCACCCACATAATCCCAGAAAATCAAAGAATGTGCATTCCTTGACAAATGTGGACTACATAAATAGTTGTGTTTATTTGCATATTATTACTGTCCTCCGAGAAGTATGATACATATGTTATCAATTAAGTCCAATTATTGTATACATAATTATCTCAAATATTGAAGGTAGCAAAAGTGTAAAATTTCAATTTAACGTTTATTTCTAGAACAATAAAATGCTAAGAGAGAGTGAGAACAAAAATGAGAATGTAACAAAAAAATATTGGATTTTGTACCTTTTTGTGCTTGTTTGTTTGTGCAATGCACATCTATGGTTTAAATTCAATAGAGGCTACTGTTATTTATTCGCTCATTTGTGTGTATTCACATTGTGCGTGTACTATATTTATAAAGTCTTTTTAACATTGCATGCTGCATATATCAAATATGTTGCAACAACAAAAAAGAAGAAAGAAAAGAGAGAAAAAAACGTAATAGTAGCGATAATTCGGAATAAAATGAGTGATAGTGGAAAAAGGGATGCAGGGATAAAAATCACGTGCATGCGTGTATCAATTGGATTTGCGGATGGTGGAGGGGTGTCGGAGCGGAATAACGAATAGACATTTAGCGGCAGTCAGAATTGGAGTCCGAAGTCTCGTTTGTCGACGCGCACTCTGGAAAACGGGGTTGAAGTCGAAGTGCAGCTCCACTGTTCAGAGGGTTTCCGAGACGCGAGGGTCGAGCTCGTAGTTTTCATCAAAGAAAACCTGTTCGAACAACCGAAAATCGAAGCTACGCGATTTAATCGAATTACATATATAATTATTCAACAAATTAAGAATTTGTGTTCGTGTCGCGAGAATAGTGAGAAAACAATTAGAACTTGCGAATAATAATTTAGCGAAAGCAGATCGTAGCGAACTTTCGAGGACTTTTGTTAAAGCAGTGACTTGCCAATAGGATTGAAAATTTAAAACTATTTTTGAGGTAATTATTAAATATTTTTCTTTTATTTATATTTTAAAATAAAATTGTATATATACATAATGTGTGTGTGTATTGATTGACTCAATTTGATACGATAGAAAAAGTTTTGATGTAATATTCATATCGTACACCCGGCGCATCCACCGATTCAATAAGATTCATTTCCAATGAACCTTGTTTACCCGCATTTACTTTCGTTATTCAACGCGGATCAGCGTTCCATGAAAAATAGCGCAACGCCGATAAAATCAAGTTTATTTCTGATCAAAGTTACTTACATTTTCTAGAAACATATTATTTCCTTCACTTGATCTTCCGCAAAACTCCTCGCATCAAACCATCAAAGGAAATCGAAATAACCTAGTTTCCTTTTCTCATTCTTCGCTCACCGAAATTGCCACCAATTTATATATATATTATTCTTATAATTTATTTCTCGAACATAAATCCACTTCAGCTGCAGAATTCAATTAATTATCCGTTTAACGAAATCCTTTGTAAAGCAAATTTAAAAAAATAACATAATAGTACTAGAATGAAGTTTCCATTACCTAGTCTAAATCAATAGTGGATGTTGTGATTACGTAATGCACGAGCCATTTACGTTTTCGTTCGTTTTTCTTGTGCGAATCGATCGGGCTGACATCAAGTCAAATCCAGTTGGGGTCGTTACCAAGCAAATCGAAGTCTGTAGTCATTATTTGGAAGGGAATGACCGGGAAATGTATGCACGGTCGGATCGTATTAACGTATGCAACATCCATTCAGATTTAAGAGAAAAAATAGAACGTTTTTTGTTTGTTTTGGGTGTAATTGGAATTTGAATTTCGTTAAGGA